TTATGAGGCTAGAAGCATTCCAGCCTGCTGCCACTGGTATGGCAAGCCGATTTCCGATTGGCCATACTTATGGCCTAGATAGTACATTGATGAGGAAAATAAGCCGTTGGTGTCAGCAATGCTTGAAAATGGAAGGCTATTATCCTTCCCTGCCATGCCGAGAAAACGTCCTCAGGGTTGGAGGACCGTCAGCATGGTAAGATTTTGGATTCTCATCTGGATCAATTAGGTTACACGCATCAACATACGTAGTTTGCCACGTGCGGGAAAACGACTGGGGTTTTGGTGCCGTATTACGAAGGGTCTGGGCATTGCCCATGTCAGCTTACCTCTCAACTCTCGAGTAATCTTCAATGGATGCATCATGGTACTGTTGAGGGTCAGAATTGAGTGGTGCTTGTTTGTTTGAGGAAAGAGATGATAAGAATAAATATCATTGTGGGTCGCTTCATATTACTATTTAGAATCTGGAGCACGCACGGGATATTACTCTACCTAGTAATCAAAGAGACAGTATAGATCCTAGGTGCATTTAGGTGTGCTTCGTATGGACCCGGAGTCGGTCTGGGACAGGACTCACAGACTTCTAGAACATCTAGAATCCCTGTCAGCGCTCCAGTGAAACGAAGCCACAATATTGGGTTTCCAGGAGGAAGGAATAATGGAGGGAAACGAAACAAAAGTATGACCCACCGGATTTGTCACCGTGCAGTATTATCCAAATGGTTTCGAATGTATTCTAGAACTCCACGAGTACTATCACGACCCGATCAGTCGCGCAGAAAACCCACCGCATCTCGAGGACCCAAACCTAGCCATCTTTTCCCGAATCCCACTCAAGAATATCGGTCAGTTCTAGCGCGACCACATTCTTGACCATGTCGACAGGTGGATAGATAGGGAGAGCCACATCACCGGGTGCCACAGGGACCCAAGAGAGCGGTGTAAGAGGAGTTGTTTGCTGCGCCTCACTCCAGTCATCGCGGCATTAGCGCACGGGGATCTTCCAATGGAAGTGCGGTAAGATCCGCCCGATGACACACGATGGGCTCAAGATGTGGCTCAACCAAACATGTGGCGCTGCTGCATCGGGCTCGGCAGCTCCGTCCTCACCGACCTTAGCGTCTGCACGACCATCGGAGAAGAGCGTCGGGTGTGTGCCGTTCGTTATGGTATCCAAACCCTTCCAAGCCGACCGCCTGCATACTTCGCCAAAACCCGCGGCTGCATCTTGGCGATGAGGGTGCTGCAGTTCACGTATTCTACATTCTGGAATGAAGATCCTCGGACATGTGTTTCCCCAGGGCCTCGGAATCATGTCATCTGAAGAATTCCCTTTTGCGGAGAACAATTAGACGGGGAGGAAATCAATGGACCTTCTATAATAGACACACATCCTTTCTTTGTTCTTTGTTACTGCGGTTGGCGTATTATCATTGTATTCCGTACGGCGTATGGGAATGGAAAGGGCTAGTCAGTAACCGCACGACTCAGCCTTGCATGAGCCACAGTAGACCCACTCAACCGAGCGCCCTCGATGTCATTCTGCTCATGTCGCCATGTTTTGACTTGCGTTCCATGTCATTTGCACTATGATAGTGTCAAAAAACGGTAGAAACAGGCGATACGTTTGTGGAGTCAAAACAAAGGAACGTCACGATCCTTCGAGTAGCCATCCTTTGGTCGATGAACATGCGATGGGTTGTCTGTTCAGTGTGCTTGGCGTATAAGGGAACCGGACTATTGAAATCCATAAAATCCCACGTTATTAACGGAACCCGAGGTACTGCATTGGGACTTGCAGTCTTGCACCGCAAATGTGCGGCTCTGTCCGTGTTCGTCCGGTTTGGGCGAGATGATTGTCCTTGCCCGACGCCCTAAATGAGAATCGTCTTCCCGCCTGGGACCGACCCTGTGTCCTGATTGGATCAAGGGGTCGTGAGCCTGAATGGCGCTTCATTTATCTGTCGTGAGCTGTTGACCAATCGTCCCGATCATTCCAAAATGCACGCTTCTGAAAGGGGTGTCGCGACGGTGTGGAGCTGAACTAAGATCGCCAACAGGACCCATGAGGTTGGCGACTCGAGCGATGTGTTCGGAACTGGCGGCCACGGCCCAGATCCAGTTGCTTAGTTCGCTGCTAGTAAGGACTCCCGTGCCTCCTGGATTCTGGATGATCTTGAACCACAATGACGGGACGAAGGAAGCGTCCCGCTAGGTAAGAGGAGTCGGGCGGCATGAGGAAAGAGTGACAGGTCGACCTGGGACTACGGTAAGACAGGTTAGGTTACCTTACCTTCCAAACATTCGATACGTCTCCATATGATTAGTTCGACGACAGTTTCATCGACCAATGTTGGGGTTGTAGACCCTCAAAACCGACTAAGCGGAAAACTTCACTATAAGTTGTCCAGTCTAAAGGTCTGCGATAGTGACTGATGGGAGCGGCCTATAGGATACCCGCTTGTAAGTCACGTCGTTAAGGCAGGCATTGAGGGGAAAAAAATTGCCACCATCTTATCAAGAACAATGGCGGTACCATGGTTAGCAGGAATGCGGAGTGGAAACAAACAAACATCGAACCGCTCGAACTGCTACGGAACCGACAAGGTTTGGTAGATAGTCAAATGGGCTACCGATAATGCCAAGTTTTCGAGCGCGGATTGACAGTGTGCCACCACGGACTTGCCGATGACACCTGCGGATACGAATGTCAGGAATGCACGGAGGACGGCGACCCCGTCTGCGTCCAGGCCTCCGGATCGGATTTGTAGTAGTCCCCTTACTATAGTCCATTTAATTTATTGCGATCGATCGCTTAGATACTCGGGTTCGGAACACCTTAGGATGGTTGAGCCTCGAGACGACCTATACTTCATACAAGACTAGTACGAGGGGGGAGTGGTGAAGGAGTGGTAACTGGTAAGATCCGATCCCCCCGTACTCCATACCCTGGTTACCATCTCCCCGGTTCAGTCACCTTACATGCAGGAAGATTTGAAGAAGCAACCCAGAGAAGTAGCATCGATATTAGCTAATGGGCAACGGCAAGGACGAATAAGAATCATTCCGACCAGAGAGAGAAAAGGAAGGCACGGAAAAGGGAGATTAAACCAAGATTCCGATAGGGCCCGGATTCCAAGGGCGATTGATTGTAAATGCTAAAAGTTTGTGGAGGCTTTGGCAAAAGTTTGGACGGGCGGCCGTCAGTGGATCGCGCTTGGGGGTTCCTTTTTACTGCTTACGGTAATTCTTGGGGGGTCCCTTGGGTATTGAGCAACACCAAACACCGAACCTTACTGTACTATTGAATTTTACCGAGTCCCTATTGTAGATAAGTACGTTCAGTGACAGCCAAGCGGATGAATAGCACTACCTACACCGTTCAACCGGGAGGGTCTTGTTTGGATTGGTATGTGGTGTGCGTCTGTCAAACTGGATCCATCCTGGAAGACCTCGAAGCCTGATCACGGGGGATTCGCGGTAGCGTTGGTACGGCCCGAAAATCCAAAGGGAAATAGTAGTTCATAGAGAAAAAAATTCCGGAAGGAAAAAACAATAAACTACAATAAAGAAAATAATCACAATATTTTTTTCAATAAGAAACAGGATGGGAAATTCATACTGCAGCATTTTCATTAAGAAGATCGCTAAGGTAGCCCAAAAAAAAAAAAAAAAACGAAAGCGAGAAAGAAAATCAAAAGTCCTCCTTGGAGAGATCCGGCTGGCAGTGCAGCATGATGCGGTAATACTTACTTTCATACGGAGTACGGAGTACATCCAGGCGTATCGAGGTGCTAATAATACCACTTAGTTTTAGGCCCGGTTCACTGCCTGCCCCTGCTCGCCCGGCATCTCCACTTTGTCCACTACCCCTGTTCTTCTTATTTTTTTTTTTTCCCTTCCTTTCTTTCTTTCTTTTCCCGCCAGTGAATAGTGATCCAGTGCTAGTCCACTCTGCGCCCCTCCACCACCCACCATCCACCACCACCATCATCATCACCACCATCATCATCATCGGCATCATCCACCCACATCCACACCCACCCCGGTCTGTTTGGGACCGCGCTAACCACTAGGCTCTGACTCCCCTGTCTGCTGCTGTGCACGCAACCCCCAGTAGTCTGGCAATGGGCTCGACTCTAGTGTTGTTTTCTTAGTTCGTCCGTAGTTGGTCAATCCCAGTCCAGTCTAAATCCACCCCGAGTCCAAATAATAGTACACTGCGCTCATAGGGCCAGCAATCATATAACATTTATCTATGCTTTTACGCCCCCCCTCCATCCGATCTTCTTTTTCTTCCGTCCCCAGTATTCTACATTCCTCTTCCATTCCCTCGCATACGGGTCGGTGTTGGTGAAGCTATCAAAGAGACTTCACTTCCTACAAAAAGGAATACATCTCCGCACCTCTCAGCTCTGCCCTCTTCTTCCTCAGTTGTTCCAAGAAGCAAGGCACCAAGTCCGATCTACCTCCCCTTCCACCTCCAATCAATAACATCCACCTCTTCTGACACCTCTCCGTTGCTTTGCGTCTCTTGCTGCCTTTTCTGCCTTCCCGGCTCCCTGGATACCGATCTGCAAGTGACAACACATATCGTTCTTCGCCTTGCAGTGGGAATATACCAACTCCGAGCGGCCAGACACGTTCTTCCGAAACCCTCTCCCCTGACCTTTTTGGGAAAATAATCTCCGAGCTTCGTTGAAGTTTGCTCGTCTCGTTACTATCCTCTAGACTCCGGTAAATACCACTATCAGGCGATAGTAGGTTCCAGTGCGGGCCGTTCCCATGTTTTTGAACTCAATAACATCTCCCAGGCCCTTGGCAAGCCAAGGGAACCTGCCGGATATTATTTCATGCCATGGCTTGAGACATCAGATCGCTAACGCTCATCCTGCCGCAGATCTATTGTATCCGTCTTTCTCTGCTATATTAACCCTCGCATCCTCCCTCCTGCAGAATCACCAATCCACCCGCCAACCATTGAACGAAGCGTGGGCATGCAATCTCACGGAGACAATCCCGACTTTGTGCTGTTCCCTACCCATTTCACCGGTGACAACAAGATGCTGGCCCTGGATTCGTCCAGACAGCAGCAGGTCCCATACTTCCCGCCGTTCCCAATGGATCCCACCTTTATTGATCCTCTTGCTACATTCCATGTGGATGATCTGAGTGGGTTCGCGCAGACCCACGATCCATCCAGTGCACCTCAGTCCTCAAACTATGGTACGACGCCAATCTATTCCGATTCCTACTTCGACGCCAATAAAGCTGCCGGTTTCCCTTCCATGCCCGCCACCCCCCCGTCTCTTCCTTATTCTTCCGATCATTTCATCCCCGGCCTCTCTACTGCATCTGGTCCTTCAATTGCGAGCGCCTCATCCTCGGCCATAGGATCACCTAATTCTGGCTCTGCGCATGTCATCCTGGAAGACTGGATCCAGACACCGAACGGGCTGAGGCATCCCACCGCAGTCATGAGTGACTATTACTCCAATGAGTGCTTCGGGAATGCGCTGGACTCGGACAGCCTCTACCAGCAGAAATGTCCTGAGAGTTTTGTTGGTGGGTCACGACTTCCAAATATCCTGCTCTCACCAGGATGTGCTTGGAGCTTTGCTGACCACTAGACCATCTCACAGACCCTTCTGTGATCCAGCCGATGCTACAACAACTGCCTCACCTTTCTCCGCCTGATATCTCATTCCCCGATCAGTCGGACTTTATTCTCGCGCAAGGCGGGTTTCTTCCGCAGTCCCCCGATCCTTCCCACCTCCACCCCGCAGAAAGCTACACTGCAAACCAACCGTTCGCACAACCCGCCAGTGTTGTCCCGACGTCTTCCCCTTCCATGATGCATTCTATCCCCCAACCTCGTCCCGTTTCTGCCTTTGACCGGAGATCATCTATCTCCTCCGTCCAGTCCCAGAGGTCCCACCCAAGCCCGGCTGCTAGCAACGCGGAGTCCGAAGATGACAGCAAGGAGAAGGGCCGCTGCCCGTTTCCAGAATGCAGACGAGTCTTCAAGGATCTCAAGGCTCACATCCTCACGCACCAGTCAGAAAGACCCGAGAAATGCCCCATTGTGACTTGCGAATACCATGTCAAGGGTTTCGCTCGCAAGTACGACAAGAACCGGCATACTCTCACACATTACAAAGGAACAATGGTTTGCGGCTTCTGCCCAGGGTCTGGGTCGCCTGCCGAAAAGAGCTTCAACAGGGCGGACGTCTTCAAGCGCCACTTGACATCAGTGCACGGCGTCGAACAAACGCCACCAAACTGCCGGAAGAGGAGCCCGGGTGCCTCCGCAAGCAAGGGAGCTTCCGGGTACAACCCCGATGCGACCGGCAAGTGCTCGACTTGCTCCATGACATTCAGCAACGCCCAGGACTTCTATGAGCATCTGGATGACTGTGTGCTTCGAGTTGTGCAACAGGAGGAGCCGAGCGAAGCCATTAACCAGAAACTACTCGCGGAAGTCGAGTCTGATGAAGAGGTGCAGAAGACGATGGAGAAACACAACCTATATGACACGGCTGGCACCGTCGAGCTATACAATGACGAACTTGATGATGACGATGATGACGCTTATGAATTTTCGAAACCGCGTTCGGGCAAAGGCTCGTTGAAGACAACAAAAGGAAACTCGGGCGCGGTCACCCGTCCTATTTTGGGCGTCAACAATGCTGTCTCTAAGCATTCGTCCAATGCCACCGCTAAGATGCGTGCAACCACATCCAAGAGACGAAACAACCGTGATCGGTATCCCCAGTCCTGGGGGTGCCCCAGCAGCAGCATCAAAACGAAGAAGCGTGTCCTCTGCGTCTTTGACGGTCAACGCCGCTTGTGGAAGGATGAGATGATGCTCGATAATGAGTTCGAAGTCCGGGTCAAGCTTCCCGGTGGTGCAGGAGATGGCACTACCCGGGAAGCATACGTGACCGACTTGGACGTCGAGACGCTGAAGCGTGCCGAGGGTGTTTTGAGTGCCAGCGAAGAAGAACGTGGCCCTTGGATCGACAACCAGTCCACACAGCTCATCGGACAGCCGGCGGTTTTGCTGCCTGATATGTATCAACCGCATGACGCCGAGATGGAAATGATGATTTGAGTCCTGAGTTCATCCATTCTGTCCACCCCCCTTTTCTTTCTTTAGTGCCTGTCATATTTGCATATTGTGGGCTTTGCATATGTGGCATGATGAGAGCGATTCTTATATTGTGTTCGATCCGGTTATTTTGATACCACCACCCGTGCCAGTGTTTTTGATTGATAGGTATTCATGGAGGCTGTGCCCGTGGTCCTGTAATAATATCCATCACCATGTTCTTTTTTTTCTTTCTTTCTGGCTGTGCCTTAGGCGTTTGGAAAACGAAAAGGGAAGTTCATTTGGAATGCAGGTCATCCTCTACTTTGAAATGTGGGCACACGACCCGTTGAATATAAGAGCCAAGTTGCAACTGTACAGAGCAGAGAGTCCTTACATCCACCCATCCATCCCGTAGAATTGTGGCAGCGGCAGTGGCGGGCGGCGATCGGAGTCTTCTGCCCACTGGATGCCCCACATTTTCCTTTCCCGCATTCCGTCAAAGTGTCGACAGCCTTCCAAGTTTCAATCATAATAATAATAATAATAATCAAAGCAATCATCCCAGGATGCAGTTGGGACTCTCGGAGGGCTTGTCATCTCTGGTGACGAGACGATTTGTAGCCGCCAAAGACGCTGGCCACTTGATCTTCTCCTCGACGCATCGTGCGACTGTTTACGCTTCAGGCCTCCCGGTAATTAAGCTGCCCTTCTCCGCTTCACCTTCTCCGGGCTTCAGTGTGCTAACAGTCTTTGTTGCCCGTCTCAGTATCAACTCCGTTACTGCCCAGCTCTTGCAAAGAAGCCTTCAGGCGTTGCCAAAGCGGACAAAGGTCCCAGCCGACCGAAACCCGATCCTTTCCAAGACCCGTCGCCCGACCTTTTGATCGCTCAGATTCCCCGTGAGAACCCGTCGCACATCCTGGTCTTGAATAAATTCCCCGTAATTCCGGATCATTTTATCCTTGCAACGAAAGCTTGGGAATCGCAGACGGACCTCCTTGACAAGGAAGATCTAGCGGCCGCATATTCATGTATCAAAGCATGGGAAGAGGGAGATCAGCCAGACGGCACCGGGAGCAAGAAGCTCTTTGCGTTCTTTAATTCTGGGGAAGATAGTGGCGCAAGTCAACCTCACCGGCACTTGCAGTTTCTTCCTGTCGAGGCCATGTCACAGGGCGACTCGGGGGACTGGCAGCCCTTGATCGATACCGTCTCCTCGCAGCCGAGATCCAGCGGATCTGAATACCAACAGCTGGTCCAGGTGCCTTTCGCGCATTTTGCTCTTCCTTTGCCCCCAAACCCGTCGGATGAGACCCTCCACAAGATATATCTGTCTTTGTATAGAGTGGCAGTAGTAACGGCAAAGGGGGGTGTGAGCGATGGTGCTCAAGAGGTCACTGGCCCTGCCGTTATCAGTTACAATCTTGCCATGACTAATTCAACGATGATGATCTGCCCGAGGCGAAGTGAGAGCGCTCGGATCCCTGTTGGCTCGGGGGCAACTGCAGATGTTGCTGAGGCTGGCGTTGTCGCACTCAACGGTACAGTCTTGGCTGGCACCCTGATGGTCAAGGCTGAAGCCGAATGGGATGAGTTGCGCCGCAACCCGGCATCACTAGGGAATGTTCTTGCAGCTATCGGATACCCTCAACCGGACTCGCGGGAAACGTCCCTGTTATAGCTGGTGTGAAGGCGTTACGGTTTCTGTTAGATCTTCATCACTTAGTAAAGAACGGGGTGCTCTATGAAGCGGGGCTGCATGATGGGAGTTTTAACGCGAAGAATTATAGGCCTCTATGACCGCTTGTAATTGATGCCTTGAAGGAAGCAATAGAAGACATAAGACCTTGCCAGGCAGGAAATCACGTGGCCGGGCAGCATTGGGACGTCGAACTGGCAGTTTCTTTCCATCTTCTGCCAACTACCGGGTGCTTTCTACTCTCGCAATCCATCACTTCCTCGCTCCAACTCACTCGCCTCCATTACATACGAATCTTCTATTAGTATTTATCTGTGTTGTTTTTACATTCCTATACGGCACAGCTGGCCATCCTGTCCATGTCCTGTCCATATCGCATGCCCATTCACCATCCGCCCCCCCGCATCTCCATACACCCCAACCTGCCAAAGACCTGCGTTTGACAGGAGACCAGAAGGCGTTTCAAGGTCGACAGATCTTGACAGACGGAGGTATGATCGATGATCCTCAGACACCGGTGTCTCTTTTGCTTGCAATATCAGAAGTTCATGCCAGAAACCTCACACCACTTCTTTTTACAAGTTGCGTTTCCAAAGTGATAAGACCCTCCATTAGCCCAGATGTACTGAGCAACTTTTTTCCAGGAGACCTTTGGTGATCTGTTCGCTCTCTGAGGGCGGCAAAAGGCGTAGTGACCCTTTGCCTGCTTTCTGGTCTCCGAACAAACAACTACCGCTTCGCAGAGAAGGCGAATCTAACCAGTGTTAGCACCAATGTCATAACACACGTGGGAAAGCTGGATGACTGGAAAGCCATCAATCCGGCTGGGTAACCTACATCTCTCTCGTGCCATTGGGGTTTCCTTACACGTTGCTCTTTGGACTTGGTCAACATGCGAAATCTTCCACGGAGGGTTGACTCGGCCTCCTCAAAGCCACCTATTCTTTTGATGTCCTTGTAGGACAGGCCGCGGAGCTTACAGTCGACCAGGAATGCGTTTCTCGTCTCACGGGGATAAGCAATTGGTCTTCCCAACAGCTGGCCCTGGAACAGGGCATTTATATCACCGGGACTCTGTGGCTGCCAAGCGTCATCAGGTCTACAGGGACTGCTGTCGCATTGGTGAAAGTTGACAGTAGGGAAAGACTCGCCCCATCCTTCATTAGCTGCACAGCCATCGCCACTGGACATCACCACGGGTTGATCGAACTTCGTGGTGGATGATGAGAACAACAAGGGCTGGGTAATGTCTAGGCTGTCATTGTCGAATTGTGGGAGATCGACCGAACTATTGCTCACCGCAGCAAGCTGGTCAAATGCGCTACTGATGTCCCCGTATAGTTGTGTCTCGTTCGATAGTTGATGTGTGTCCCATGTGGAATGATCGTGGCTAGTACCCTGACTTGGCACGTCGGCTGCTTGATGGAACTGAAAGGCTAGCCATGGGAGCGACGTGGTAGTTGAAAGAAAACTGTTATTGACAATCGATGTGGAGCTTTCATAGGGCGGCCTTGGGGACTCCGATAACGCATTTTCTCTGATGCTTGTCCACTCTGTTTGAAGAGAACACCTACTGCATTCCTCGGGTGTGGTCATGGGTGCACTGCACGATAAAATTGTTGTTGGTGTGCTTTCTGCCACCGAGGCTAAGGTGGGCCCACCGGTAGCCATGAACGAACTGATGTTGACAGCTGGATGAACAATATGAGAGGTGGCATCGCCAGAGCAAACATCGTCATCCATGAACGATGTTTGTGGTGCATCTGGATGTGTAGCAGTGGCCTCGAACTGGCTGCAATCTTCGATCTTGATGATTTGCGTCTCAGGTGGCGTGTTGGTATAGTGAGCCAGCGTTGCTAGTTGGCATTGGAGCCCGTGTGCTGGTGTATGTTCCTTCTCCAACTCGAATGTTGAGTAATAGCTGGGCCAGCAGCAAAAGTCTCTCGTCTGAGGCAGGTCTTGCATCGTTGCGTATCGGCTCATCATTCCGATGAGATCCTTCGAAAGTTGCTCGTCTGTTTCTAGATGATGTCGTATCTTTGCCCCACCACAGTCAGTGATGGGAAACTCCGTTGTACGGTCTTGTGAATCAGGGGATTGTACTTGGAAGAATGCGCTGCGATCGTCGAGAAAGAAAATGTGGGAGCGAAGGTCCGACGAGATGGGGTTCTTCTCGACGGTAATTGGCTTTGGGTCGTCTGAATCAACAAGGGCGCGCAGCATGGCTTTAAAATGAGGACGAATGTCTTCTTGCTATCTTCACCGCTACTGTCTCCTATGATCGGTATAGACGTTGGGTGAACACTGTGCATTGGACTCTGGTGCCAGGTTATGCGCGTGGTCGGGCTATTAGGGCAACTGCAGGGACTGTTGTGGCTGCTCAACACATCAGCATCAATAGGGTGAGGTTTCACTTGGTTGTCTGGTTTGGCTGACTCACCAGAAAGCTCGAATATCAATGGCTCTGTGATTATTTGATTTTCCGATTTGGGTTGAAAGGCACCAATGGCCGATGGCCTTCAGACCAGACAGGCTCTTCCCTGACGGATGGCAACACAAATGGGCGGTATGAAGATTATTGAACACAATGCGCCTCTAGCGGTGTCGTTGTTGTCCTCTCTACGCCTGCTTGAGGACCGAATGAGAGGTTATTCTCTCCTTCCGCCACCGATAGAATGGCGATGATGTCTCAGTGGCCTGCCCTCTCAGGCAATAATCGCCGTTGGAGAAGTAGCTAGACAGGGTTCTTGGGACACACGGTTCGCTTTGCCAAAGGCGATGTCCCATCCAACAGGGGACGTAGTGAATGATCTCAGCACTCAAGTACAGGACCAAGCGAATCTGATTCAAGGGATCCTGGAATTCTTCCCCATCATTATAAAGCAATAAAGCAACACTGCCACATCCCCCTAACACCCTCAACCCCCGGGCCCCTGGAATAACCAGCAGGTTCCGATATGGCTTGGACTGCTCGCATTGCCGGGAGCTAATTCATTGTTCTTCACAGAACGATATTGTTCCTCCGAGCTAGACAATGCTGGCTTCAACACCATACCCCTTTATGCTCTGATAAACAGGCATGGATGTTGCCGGAAGAGATCAATCACGCCCAGTGGCCCGGTTTACCATGGACTCCTAGATTCCCCGCAAGGATCAGCCAACCCCGTTGCTTGCAGTGGACCACAGGTGGTCCAAATGAAGACAACCGGAGGGAATCATCCTTTTGTGGCGCAGTATATGGAATCAGGGAAAGGGGGACTTGTCCTCCAAGTGCTCACATTCTGACAAAGTTCACTGAATCGCTTGCGACTGGGCGTGCGTGGTTGCTTTGCAGCAGAGAACGCCAATCGGGTAGCCACATAGGGCTTTGTTCGCACATCCGCTTTTTCTCCTCCCACCCTCCCCCAGGCCCAGGAATCCAGAACATCCCATTCCCATGGCCGTAGGAAATTGGAACGTTTGATCAGACAACTCGGAAGGCTCCCGTCGGATCTACGGATGCGTTGTTTTCTCCGCCATTGGCCCGCTTGATATGCTTTATCTGCATTTCTATCCCTTAGATTCCGGGAGTTGAAATCCACCCTCCGCATATGCAGATCATATCCGACATTCATGTACCCACCAGAGCTGCGACAGCTAGCTATTCCGCACCAAGCACATCAATCTCCAGAGCCAAACCCACCACCTCAGTCCACCCACGCGCAGAGTCAAGAGAGAAAGGACAGGCCCAAAAGCACCAGTTGGGCTGGGCTAGATCCTGCACAATTAACTTCGTCAATTCAATCACTACACCGCTTGATTCCCTCCACCCACTGTACCCCGGCATCCGCAAGCCCCAAACGTCTCTGCATCCGCAATCGCCCCAATCAGACCTTGCCTCCCTATCATAGCAAACCAGCAGGTGCACCTGTCGGTTGGAAATTAAGCTTAACCAACCCTTTGCTCTAGGTCTCGGGTCCCCTCCCTAGACAGTAGACAGACACTAGGCAAGTCGGCATTGGTTATCTTCAACCCGCTGAATGGGTACTTTTGCATCAACATCATACGGTACGGGGTACATCCCCCCATACTCACATACTCACAAACATACATCCGTGCATGCATACATGCATGCATACCGTGTCCTCATTCTCCTACCCACCCTATCAGCCATGCACCAAGAAAAAATAAACAATCCAATCACCAAAAACACAATGGAAAAAAGAAAAGTGAAGAGAAGAGAAGAAAAGAAAAGAAGAAGGGGAAGTAACTACATCCCTGATCCCAACCCAACTTCATCTTCCCCTTCTCTTTCCCCACACGCACGCACGATCATAATTCCCTCCCTCTGCGTGGCTCGCAGATCCATCTGTACTCCATACGAAACATCCTAACACTAATTCTGATCATAGGTAACACCTGCTCACCCCACTACATCCCCAAACCCATGTATGTACGTGCACACCCAAAAATAGTAAATAATCAGGTAGGCACAGTACCTTTTGTCCCCCTCGTACAGACACACGACTCCGACTCCTATTCTAAGGGTGGAAGGGGGGAAGGCCTTCATTCAAGTTGCACCTTTTAGCTGCAGGGAACCCCGATGTTGGGTACTAACGGTGACACCAAAGTGGTCTCAGCGAAGGGTTTGGTGAAACGTTGCCTTGGGCCGGCCCTGAGCATCTCATTCCGCCTGGAGAGACAAACTGAGGGAACAGAAGAAAAGAAAAAAAACGAAAATACCCTACGGTTAGCGGGGAGAATTAATTCTACGGCCTCCTGGCAATTTCGGGATGAAGAAAATCGGAGAAATACGACAGGGAGAGAGAGAGAGAACTCTGGCATGTCCTACCGCGGCGGTAGCATGAAGCCGCCTTTCTTTATGCCTGTTCCCGCTGCTGCCTTCCCGGTTTGCCAGCGGGACCTGCTGGCTGGTCCTGACTTTCCGGCAGTGGCGCGTGTCTTCTGCCTATTTGCAATCGTTTTTCGATCGATGCGTGCATTGGGATCGGCTTGCAGTTCGTTTCCCTTGCGAAACACTGGCTTACTGTACATGGCCGTGTCAGGAAACGATGAGGGCCTTTCCCGCCTTGGCCTCGGCCGTGCATGGACGAATGCATTCCTACTGGGAGCTCTCTCTGCATCGGATTTTTCCACATGTATGTATGCTAGAACCCTGCGCGGGCGTCGGTAGATGACAGTTCCACTCTTCAGCAGCCACACAACCCAGTGCCCTATGCAAACCGGACAGGTAGTTAGATTGCCGCAGACCTCCGCGGGTTGTCCCCTTGTGGGCCCTAGCTATAACGATATGACAATACAGGGGAAGTCCGTGAGGAATGATACGCAAAGAATGGATGGCAACCGGAATGACATTAGGGTACGTCGCTGTCCTGCATCCGCCCGCTGGAGCTCTGGTACCAGTCCAAGGACCGATCTACCAAAAGTACTGCAACTTCGTCAGCAAATGAACACGGTCCATCCCGATGCACGCATGACAATAACTCACCCAGGAGCATTGTAAGAGTAAACGCGTATAGTATAGCAGGGGATGTCATGAAGGAGTAGACGAGTGGAAAGTACCGTGAGAAGCTCACAAGGCTCGCAAGGAGGACCCCCAGGGTAAGGCGGGTTGTCGCGCTGATGCTTGTACATCGGCGGAGTGTGTGGCGACGCGCTAATAAGACAAACCCACCAAAGAAGAACATGGTGAGGGAAGCAACGGCAAAATAATACACATAGACGAATTCTAGAAGTGCCATATACCTTTGCAGAAGCTGATCACTACTGAGGTGGCCGGGATCGGGTTGGTTGGAGGGCATGATTCTCATGGTGGAGAATAACGCCGCCGTCACATTCCCTACCAGATCACTGAGCATGTCTCGGATGATGGGGACTTGACCCGTTCGATAGGATGGGCACAACGGATGATTGGGAAGATCATCCAAGATCCGGGTGATTGCAATCTGTTCGTTTATGGCCCCTCGGCTATAGTCGATCTCCATGTCGGCAATGGTGGTTTGAAGGGTCCGAATGGCATGGTCCGGTCTAGGTCGTGGCTCTTCACACGCCCACAAGATGGTTTCCGCCAGGTACCGGAGTTTCAGCGTGATGTCCAGGCTCAGGGCAAGGATCTGCGAGCCTTCAAGGAGGAGAATGAGGGCCACGTGGAAGGGGAAGTGTAGCTGGGCCCAGATTTGCTGCGAGTACTTTCCCAGGATCCGTCTCGGGGAAAGGTCGAAATATGCTTGCCACAAAAAGTACTACGACCGGAAGGTTAGCGCTTCCGATTGGCACCGAATGAACAGGGGGTCAATCAGTCATGAGGGCCATACCACATTGGTCGTGACGCCTAGGATGTGAACAAACGACCACTTCGTCCAGCCGCCAGGGCCGACTGTCTTGTTCACAATCCTGGTGACAGCAATGACGCCTTCACCAATGATGATCAGCGTCAGGAGGCCCATTCGTGTATTGAGATGGGTATCCTGAAGTCCAATCCCGGGAGTAGCGGATGAAGTTCCCATTACCACCCACATCTCCACCCCAAACAGTACAAACCAAACGGTCCATATATAGGGGCTGAGCCCACGCTGTTGCTGGAAGGCATAGTACAGCTATAACAGGTCACTTGGAAAGGTCCCTGGCTAGGCTGCACCGGGTAGCTTACCAAGAGGTACGTCAAACTCGAGACAAATTGTGTTCCAGCAATGAGGGAGACGCCCCGAGCTGCAGGCATCATCCGTCTCCGAAGAAATACCGTGTTGACTGTGTATTGCAGAGCGAGTAAAAGTCGACTTCCGCCGAGGATAAGGCTCAGGGACTGGAAGGCCCAGACGTTTTCTGCCCGGACACGCGTGGTGAATCGTGTGCCAGCTGACGCAAACCCAACCATGGCTGCCAATTGAACGGCCTTGCAAATTCGCTCAAAGATTGAGTCTCGGGCAAAGCGGATGTCAAACAACGTAACTTGGAGCCAGGTAAACCAGATGACCCCGAGGAAGCCGATGTAGGCCCAAAGTGCTGACGTGCAGAGTTAGATCGAGACCGTATTGTGCTGGGTAGCCACCATACCTTCCACATTGTTGATCTCATGGGTAGCCGTAAAGCTCGAGAGATTCGCGACGAAGAACAGGTCAAAGAACAGTTCGATGGGGGTTGCCTCGGACTGACGGCGGAGGTGCGGACGGTCTCCATCCTTTTCGTCAACGGGCGATTCGATGAACGCAATGACACTACGCTGGCTATTGAAATTCAGAGATCATTCGAATACAAAAGCTTCTCCTAGGTGGTTAACTTACTGCGTGGCTGCTCGAGCACGCGCAGCTCTACTTGACGGGTGATCGAACCAGGACATAAAGGGGATTGGAATCATAGTGATGGATGGACCTTAGGAAGACTAGACACTAAACGATGGGTATCATGAAAGATAATGGAAGACCATGCGGGGTTGATGGTCGTTGGAAGATGTCGGCGCAGTTGGCCGGGTTCAAGGGAGCCGTTGGGGTTTCGAATGGTTTTCTTGGAAAGAGCGATGGCGATGGCGATGGCGATGCCTCTGGACACAAGGAAGGCGTTGATGGAGTATCAAGGCTCATCAGGTTCGGAGGTGTTTGCAGATGCTGCCCCCGAGGTTCCAAGACCTTCCAGGCCTCGTGAGTTTGCGATCTCATCGGCTGCAGATAAGTTCTCCTGAGAGCCAGGAGTGATCCCGGCCTCCTGTTTAAGCTTCTCGTAGTTATCCCCAGCTTCTTTTATTAGAGCCTGGATTTCCACCTCCCGGACAGCAATGTCCGCTTTCTCCTTCCTCAACTCTTCCATACGGTCGATCATCTGCGCCTTAGATTTCTCTAGGACAGCCAGATTGATACGCAAACGATCAAGACAGTTCGACAGACGAGGAAGCGAGGTCATCTTGGGCGGCGTCCGTGGGCGATCGATGTGATCTTTGCCGCCACCCATGGCAGCTCTTGTCTGACTGGCTTCGTAGGCCGCTTTTTCCTCCAGATCCGAATCCTCATCGTCCGACAGACCTTCGGCATCATCAATGAGCTCTCTCATCTCTTCACGTTGTTTTCTTTTCTGCTCTTTCTCCGCTTTCCTGCCGAGGGATATGCGTCCATCTTCCACGAATTCGTCAAACCCTTCAGCGAAATCTTCGTCATCTCGGACGAGCCGAGTGTCTTTGAGCTCCTCTCGCCGCCCTTGCAGATCCCAGTCGTCCTCCTCCATATCATCTTCAAGCGATATGAAATCTTTCTCTGTAGAAATAGTGCCCTGTTCCTTCGCCAACCGTGCTCTCCGAGCCTTCTTCTCTCTGATCTCTGCTTCACTGGGAATAGCAGCGGGGGTGGAGACCTTCATTACCTCACCAAACTTCGCAGCCACATCAATTGTCTTTTCCGACTCATCCTCGGCCGCGGGCTTAGGCGTAGAAGGTGTCGAGTCGCGGAGTTCTTTCAGATAATCGTTGCTATAACTCGGTCTATCCTGCTCCGGCCCTACCCTGAGAGGAATCTGGCCGCCTGCACCGGACGGTGTCAAAGATCGCTGAAGCGCGCTCTTCTCTAGAGCCCGTTTGGCGAGGCCGGGTCGTTTGGGAATAACTACTTCGCTTTCCTGATCGCCATCGTCTGCCATGGAGGTACCACCGGGGCCGAAAGAGAGACGTAAGTTCGACTTTTGTTTCGTTTTGGAGGCTTGGGGGCGCTTGACAACAGGCCCAGAATCTATGAACTGTCCGTCAGTACGCAAAGTCTCTGTAGTTAAGCTTGACCGCAAACACCAACCTTGCTCGTCGGCATCATTTTCCTCATCATCACCACCAATCTTGCGGGGCTTTCTGCGATTTGCAAATTGGGAACTCATTTTCAAAGCCCAAAGTAATCCCCTTGGCTGTCTGTGTTCAAACTCACACCCCGGCCGTAAACGCAGCGATAAAGCGCAAAGTTGCAACCCCGCTGGCGTCACAGGCAGCTCCGCGATTCTTTGGGAGCTTGCGGGAACATCATTCTTCCGGCCCAGCTGATCCCACTGCTGTATGTCAAAGTTCCGCAACGCGACCGACTCGACCTTACAATAGGAACAGTCAAACACAGACCACATCCGCCAAAATGCCTCAAGCCCAGCCCGAGTTGAAGAAGGTATAACCTTGCGATTAACGTCCTGTCATTGCCTCGACTCAGAACGCAAACTGACGTTTGGTTTCAACAGTACATGGAAAAGCGGGTCTTCTGCCAACTGAACGGCAACCGCAAAGTTATCGGCATCCTGCGAGGCTATGATGTACGTCGGGATCTACCCTACCTTGGATTATGTTGCTGTGGATTTGTCGGGGACGTGTTGGGATGGGATCGAGATCGGGAGAACCGGGTCGAATATGGGAGTGCAGGTTACTGACGTATGCGCTGGGCAGGTGTTCATGAACATTGTTCTCGACGACGCTTTCGAGGAGAAGCAGGGTGGAGAGAAGGTTGCTATCGGCATGGTTGTACGTGGATATACCCTTGTGCTGGTTCTGTGGATATGGAAGCGGGGAGCTAATAGCTATGCAGGTCATTCGCGGTAATTCGGTTGTTATGCTCGAGGTCAGTATACTGCCGTCAACTACGAACAATGGGCATGTTGTGAAGATGCTAATATTTGCTATGATCTAGGCTCTGGAACGTATCAGCGACAAATAAACTGTCGGAGTGGTCGGAAACTCAATGTCTTTTTTGAAACTTCTCTGGGATTGATTTAATACAATAAGGAGTTCACGGGTCGGTTGCTCGCACGGAATGATCGATGGCATCTCGCTTTCCACAAAAGAACCGCTTCATTTACGAGAAAATATACGTGCGACCTTCTGGAAGACCAGATATGACAGTTTCGGGGAGGTATATTGACCCGCAGAAATGATCCATGACAGCTATCATCTATCATCTCTCGGCAAACAATCAATGCCCAAATCCCACCAGCAATAACATGGGCCACTGAACCAGATACCCTGTGGAGATAACCCAGAATAGAAGAATAAAAAATCGTCTGAGAGACATTAAGAAGAACAAGAAACTCATTTCAAACCCCGCGCCATGCATCTCTTTGACCTGACCCCCTTTCCCTAGTCCAAACAATAAAGAACGAGCTACACGAGTAATTGGTATCTAGAATTTTATAAAGACGATCACTTCGGCTTCTGGCCGAATTTCAATTTCAGCTTGAAACCACCGCCGCTGGGCGTGGAGGGCGTAGATGGTGCAGTCGTCGTCTTTGGCTGCGCCGGGGGGGCAGGAGAGGAGTGGTTCGGAATATGCAGCCTTGGAATCTGCTGTGATGTCGGTTTCGGGCTGGGTGTTGGAGCACTAGAGGTGAACTTGGACTGCTTGAACGTGATACGGGGACCAGGGGGTGGCATTCCCTGTTCCTCTCGCTTGCGTTTCACGGCTGTAGGATCTTTGGACGACGTAAGCGTCGTGCGAACTTTGTTTGACCGGAAGAAGTGCATTCGTCCCTAGGTGATGTCAGAAAAGACTTGTCCAAAATCGCCTCGTGCTACTTACCCTTCCGAGATGCTTCACGCTCCAATAGCGCGGGTATTTCAAAGATACCATTCGAGATGTGATTGCGTCATAGAGAACCTTGCACAGATCGGTGAACTCGGAGAGCTCAAGCACCCCAATGCACGGGGAATTGCATGCTGCCCAAAGAGACTCCTTCAGCACCTGATCGCCCGAAACTTCCTTCTTCAGAGCACTCAAGGCTCCAGTAACCGTTTGTCTCCGCGCAAGGTCAGCTTGGCGGACCTCAGTCGTGGATTCTTGCTCGATAATTAGATTATTGGTGGTCTCGGTGGCGGGGGCTTCAGTCTTTATTTCGCGGCCGAACGCGACTGGAGCAAGGGCCTTTCCAAAGAGGCTATGAAGCCGGCGCCTGATACAGGCAGAAGAGTCGCTTGACATGGTAAAGATGAACCATCGCAGTAGTTCCGGGTTCCGGAAGATGTCAAGCTCAACCATGCATTCGAACGCATCCAAGCGAAGGAGATCGTATGTTCCAGCGCGAGTGTATGGTAGGAATTGCATGATGTCGAGATTCAAAATCTTGGCCTGCATGAGACGCATTTGGCAGCGCAAAGCCGCCCGCGAGTAGATGTTCTGGAAAGAGCTCGACCATTCGTCCATCCTGCGATACCTATCGAGCTCAGCTATAGCATCTTTCTCCAACTGTTCTTCGGCCTGGGCCTCCAACACACGGTCCATATCAAAATCGTCCATGACATCAGGCTCTTCGACTTTGCCCAGCATGGCATGGCACAGCGATTCCATCAAGGTTGCGACATAGAAGTTATCCGAGTACTGTTGCAGCATAAGCATCAAGCTGAACAGAGCAGTAAGATAACTACTCACCTCGTTATTGGAGTTATCGTTGAACTTTAACTTGTCATACAAGAAACGCTTGACGCGCATCGGCGTTTTGCCGTTAAGGTCGCGTATTTGTGACATGGCCTCTGGAATGACTAGCTGGAGAACGTACGCCGCCCTGTCAGAGAAGTCATTCGAGCGAGTCATTGGGGACCCTGGAAGACAGAAAAGCTCTTGGAAAGCTCTCTCAAGATGGAACATTCCCACCCATTTGGTCTCCTCCGCTGCATGCGTCACCAAACCTCGGGCGGCAGCGACCCGAATCCCGTAAAAGTATCTCCGATCCATCAGCGTTCTGAGGAAGATCGTGGAAATGAGTCTGTGTGGTTTCTGAATCGCCATGTATTGCACGGACTGGTAGCCTCACATTGTCAGTGATGAGCACAAAGGGGGACATGGGGTCGACTGACCTCCAGCTGGGCGACGACATCTCGATCCTGTTGAAGCTGGGAGAGGTACATGTACCCTGGCATCGCCAGCGAAAGCTTGCATATCCATTCGAAATCTGCGTCCATGCGGATCCACTCGTAAGATTCCTGCCCCATCTTGTCTTCATCTTCCTTGCTCCATTCCGTGAGCCTCCACTCTTCCATCTCCTCCTCGCTCTGCAAAACATCGCCAAGACAATAAAGCAAAACGTCTTCCTGCGCTTCGGCATTTGGGTCACCACCTATAACAGCAGCTGCACGCTCCTTTTGCCGCTTATTCCTCTTCAGACGCTTGTATTTCGTATTATAGGGGATGTCAAACTTGGTAACGCCCTCCTTGATTTCGACGATGTGCTCATAAGGCGTGCCATCAGCTTCGTGGATCCGGATGGTCATAGAACCCGTGAAAACCGGTTGAACAATTCCAGCGTAGACGCCTCGAATCTCTTCTTTGACATCCCGCATGAACGCATTCTTATCCAAGTCGCGCGTGCTTGGGACATCGGCTTGTACTTGTCGGATCATCATCTCGACCACGAGCTTCTTCTTATTGAATCGCTGCGTGGCTTGGAACCGAGGACATCCAGCTCCATATACCCACTGCTGAAAGAAGGAATCGAGCTTGGCGTGACCAAGCCGTTCACATGTTCTTTGGAAGAGAGAGGTGGTGACCGCTCCATTGGGTATATCGCCCATCCGCGAATTCAGGAAAAGACGGGATATGATGCGAGACATCGTTGCCTTGCCGCTCGCCTTGGTAAGTCTCCGGTCCAGGATGAAAAGAACGAGAGGAGCCTTGAGTGCAATAAAGTCAATTTCCGACGAATCTATTTTTAAGATGGTTCCCATGTCATAGAGCGATGGACGTTCGTAGTCCAGCTCACATACTCTATCAGACATCTGTTTCAATCGAAATCGATATTCATTATTCCCGCAAAGCTTCCTCATGAACGTATCCGTGATATACCAAGAGACGCCGACAGTTACCCAGGTGTCTGTCGGCTCCTTGGGGACGATATTTACGCCAATCCACTGACACGACAGGGCATAAACCAGACTGCGGGTAGAGTCATACATTGGGTCGATGATATCTTCGGGAAACAAGAGGTGGCTGCTGCAGATCGATAGGCAAGCCGTAGGTAACGTGGCTTCAGGTGTGTCGTCCACGAAGCATATCTTGTAGCTAGCGAACGGGTACGAACCGTAAGACAATGAGAAAAAATCGATCGCCTTCGCCATAGGAAAGCAGGTATTTCTGACTTCATCCCCTCTTCCTGGGAGGCAGAACGCATGCAGTGGGATGGCATTGAGACCAAGCTGCTCATCTTGGTCGCTCTCGCGGAAATCGGAAAGGTTCACATATTCGAATGGACCGACGGCAAATCCAATCTGCTGGGCAGAAAGGGGTGAATAGCACGCGAATGAAACCGTCTTCTTGGTGGAGTCTCTGGGGTCGATAATCTCATCCGTCAGGTCCCCAGAACAAACCACGGACAAATCCAGTGTCTCATCATCCGAAGCGATATATCGATCATATCCAGACGAGGGTTTCGGGCGACTGGAGCCGGAGATGCCGGAGTGGTCTCGAGGCTTGCGATCGAACATATCACCCAAAGAGCACGGGCACTTGATCGACATCTCCCAGGTGCAACGCGACGAAGGGTCATCCACACACGGGAAAAGAGGGCATCCGGCACCATATCCCAGAGAATTCGTTGTGTAAGCGTGGGGGTAGCGTCTGTCGCCAGTTTCTAACCCGACAAACTGCAGTCCATCCCGTATATTCTCAATGACGAATTCGATATACATGGTCAGTGCCGTGAAGCGTGGAAGCGACGAGTCGGCCGCCTTGGAGCTTAGAGGCCCTTCTGCATCATCTGCGGAACCCGTGGCGCGTAGGGTCATTTGGTCCTGGGCTTCGACCGAGGAGGGATCAAGTTCGTCAATCCGAACGCTCTTGGGAATCGTCACGAGCAGGTCAGGCTCCGGAGGAGTTTTGAGCAGTCCCTCTATCTTGGTCGAAAGGCGCTGGTGATAATGAGGGCCGTAAATCTGAAGTGACTCGTATGGATCGGCATATTTGACGGTCGGTACCTTCCCACTTACATTCAGACGCCTCAGCTCGCCCTGTCGGAAATTCAATCGGATAACGCGGAGATCTTTAAAGTGAGGATGAATCGTGATCTCAGTTTTGCCCTTGAGGCTTTTGGTCGCAAAATCGATCTCGAGCTCAACCTTTTGATGCGCGACAGTAAATCCCAGCTCGGGCCTGACAGGCCCGGCCGGGGTCTCGACGACGCCTGGCATGGCGCAAGATACTCAGTCGTGCACTGCGCCGCGAGCGCCACGCTGACCATCTACCGTCATGTCCAGGCTCCAGGAGCGACAACTTTCCCCACCCAGCCGTGCTTTCTCCAACCTAGTTGACGCCAGAAGTGATCGGAAATCGATATCGTGGGTGTGGGAAAAGAGAATGTTGACTGAACGACTGGAGCTTCAACGGCGGGGAACAACACGCAGGGAAGCGATCGAGGTAACGGTGAGGCTGGAAAAGGACGGACGGACACGAGGGCTATTCAATCAGAAGGTGGGTATGAATAGGATCGAGAGATGAAGCGGGGAGTAACACTGGGGGAGATGGACGACCTAGGATCGTCCCTCCAACGACCATCAAACAGCACGCTACACTTTTCTTCCATGTCGCGTCTCTTGCGGTCGGAAGCTTCCTGCGGAGCTCGTAGCGCCACGTGATTCCGATCTGCCCGTTCCTCTCTGGCTTTCTCTCCGTGTCCGCCGCATCGCCATCCCGTTCGATGGTTCGACCCTTTTTTACTTTTTTTAGTCGTGGATTCATTCCCCTTCCCCTGGCATCACCTCCCACACCCCCTCCCAGCCTTGCCGCATTCCCCCGTCTGTATTTGCCCGCCGTCCAGCCGCAAGAGACTGTTCACGTCATCTATTGACGGCCCATTGGTTCTTTTCCCTCCCCGTCTCGTCCCTCTATTAGTCGCATACCGCGCGATGAGCCACGTTTGACTCCATCCCCAATAATCATTCTGTGGAACATTCCTGGAGTACCTTCGAATTCAAGATGAGCTTAATATTCAGGAGGATCCAAGGTTCGTAATGCCCTGCTGCACCAAGAACCAAGACGTAACTGTAGAGCTAATCGACGTCGCGCGTTGTATAGCGATCCAGGACTCGCTTTCCGACGACATCCTGTTGCCCCTCAAGAGCTACAAATACTCGAGTGTCGACAAGTCCTATATCTCGAACTATATTCTAAGGCACTACGTACTGCCGCCTTGATCCGATCTATATACCCCCCGATGCTGACATGGACGGGTTAGTGGAATGCCTTCGTCGAGATATTGCCGCTTTGGCTGGCCCCCAACATGGTCACTCTCCTGGGGTTTTTGTTCATTGTCGGCAACGTGATGCTCATCGAAGTATACATGCCCGATCTGGTGGGACCGGTACGACAACCCCGCAAAAGCCCCGTCGATGTTCCAGCAAGGCTAACAGATCGTGCTTGTAGGGCCCCTCCTGGCTATACTATAGTTTTGCCCTTGGCATGTGGATGTAAGTGCATGGCCAGCTGGTGTAGTAAAGCACTACTAACCACTCCCAAGGTATTCCACGCTAGACAACGTCGATGGAAAGCAGGCGCGCAGAACAGGCACCTCCAGCGGGTTGGGGGAGCTTTTCGAGTAGGTGACCATGGAACGACAGAGTGGGAAAGACGCTAACGCTCCATAGCCATGGAATCGATTCTTTGAACTGCACCCTCGCTAGTCTTCTCGAGACCGCCGCCATGGGCTTTGGTTCTTCTCAGCTGGGAGCCTACACTGCCCTTGTCCCATGCCTCGCAATGTACTTTTCGACCTGGGAAACCTACCATACACACACGCTCTACCTGGGCTACTTCAACGGCCCTACGGAAGGCCTTCTGATCGCGATCGCAATCATGATTGCTTCTGGCATCTATGGCCCTCAGATCTGGACCCGACCGATCGTCGAGTTCCTGAACTACCCGCAGATCTTCGGGAACAACTCTGTCAAGGACCTCTGGGTTCCGATTCTCCTCTTGTCTTTCTTCCTTGGACACCTGCCGGGTTGTGTCTTGAACGTCGTTGCTGCTCGCAAAAAGCAGAATCTCCCGATCACCCCCATCTTCAAGGAATGGGTCCCAATGATTGTCTTCACTGGCTGCAATATTGCTTGGCTGTTTTCTCCATACTCGACCCTCCTGTCTCAGAACCGACTGGTTCTGTACTGCTGGACTATGTCGTTTGTCTTTGGGCGCATGACTACCAAGATCATTCTCGCTCATTTGCTGAAGCAGCCCTTCCCATACTGGACCGTGTTGCAGTTCCCGCTCATTGGCGGCGCCATCCTAGCCAACCTTCCCCGCCTGGGATTCCCCATGGTAAGCTCATGGGTGGAGCTCCTCTATCTGCGTGTCTACCTTTTCCTTGCCTTTGTTGCATACATGCACTGGGCATTCCTAGTGATCAACAGAATCACCACTTTCTTGGGGATCAACTGCTTGACGATCCGTCGTGATAAGTCGATCGCAAGAGATCGTGCCTTTCGTGAGTTTGGCGAGACCCAGCCTAATGTTCTCAGCCCTCTCGCGGACCCCAGCAAAGGGGGCATCAAGAGTCATTAATCTCGATTCCCACGTGATTTCAGGTGTTCATGGCAGCTGAACAGAGCCACCTTGCATAATGCTTGTGATTTAATAAGTATGTTGTCCTATCAACCCCTCCCAGCATCTGCTGCGGAGCCCAGTCCGCGCAACTGGACTTGAGGACTTTTCGATGATGCCAAGACCCGGGCTGTGACATTGTTTTTCTCCCTTGCCGGTTTTCTTGGCGACGTATATGTCTTCCTATATCTACGATTTTAATGTCCCCTTGGATTACGCCACCCGCACACAGGCTGATGAACTTACGACTCGAGTGGATGGATGACGCTGACGCTGACGATTCGTCCATGGTCAAGCTTTTCCGGTATATATAGTTCAACGATAGACAGTGTACTAGTACTTAATGAATGATAGAGTTCCTGTACAATTCCCATTTCATTTTCTACATAGACGCCGGCTGCAAGGCATGCCGCTAATACCTTTTAGACCAGACGTGAAAACCCCGCTTGAATGTACGGCGGGGGCACCAGCATGAAGGATGCTGACAGCTGCTCCTAGTAAGGAGTTAAAAGTCGAGACCAATGCTTTGAGTTTAACCCAGGCAGACAAACAACTCTACTGTCCCCACTGGATCTGAATCAAACCCCTTATCAATCTCGTAAAGTGGAGCTTAGATTAATTAACATACCGATCTAATCAAATCCTGGCGCTTTCTCTCCATTGCAAGGTGCATTGAGTCACCAGGCGCAAACCATTTATTGCCTTTGATGCTTGGTGCCCGATCTATTTATTGGCTTACTACACAGGATATCTGATTGGGGTATGTGCCACTCTAGGTACTCTACGACCAAGGCCCTTAGACCAAACGTTCACTAGTTGACGATAATTTCACCCTCACTGAAAAAGAAACGGCCGTCGATGTACATCATCAAGTTCGCCCCCTTCCGGATCCGACAACGTATAGCAGAGCACCGCATGCCGCCCATCGCCTAACATCTCCAGCGAAATGTTTCGTACGCGAGCATATTCCGGAACAAAACCGTCTACTTCGCCTTCGGTCTCAATTGCGACGACCTGGCGGGCTAGACTGGCAAAGAACCGAGAGTCGTACGGACCTTCGCAATGGGGCCAGGAGTCAAGAAGACTTAATGCTCGTTGGCGAGTGGGGAGATCTCGACATCGGAGACTTGTCCAACCCAATGGTGCGATCACGCCCATGTCGGTCACCATTTTGGAAAGGTCCTTGCCGTACTCGGCCCTCATGCTGCTCATGATTCGATCGCAGAGGTTCACGAAGGTTTGGAATTGTGGTAGGTAGTAATCATATACGAGCTCGGATAGGCTGAGCATGGTTTCCAGGTCGACCATTAGGATGAGATGGTGTAGTCTTGTCATGTCGATGCTACGGGCTTCTTTTGGTGTGACTTTGGATGTAAAGCGTGAGATGAAGGCTTCGAAGGCGGAAATGTGCTTCATCAGTTGGGTTCGAATCTTTTGGTGTTGGATGGAGAGTTGGAAGATGTCGGTCATGGGGTCCCTTAAGAGTGGTCGGCAGGTGGTTCGAAAGCGAAAGACGACGCTTCCGAATGGGTCCAGACTGTCTTTTACGTCCTCCAGACTGTTGAATGAGAACTCCTGGTCGAGTATATCAGCAGCTAGATATCCGTTTTGCGCGCCCAGCGTGGTGACGGATCCGGAGACTCTGAAGTGCACTGACTGGGCGTCCAGCTGGGCGAATGTTCTCAGCAGAGCTTTTTCCGTCGTAGACCCGTTGACTTCCTGGCGGAGAACCTTGGACATAACAATGGCTCGTGCCTCTTCTCCCTTGTGGTTCGCCAACACATGGAGCCCGTTCTGGAGATGAGCGAAGGCCTTCCCGCGATTTCCTTGGAGGTACTCGAAGAAGATGAAGGTCACACAACACATCAGCACGGCTAAGCGCGCCTGGGGATCGTTCGACTGCAGGCGCCTCTGCAGGGCAGCAATGGCTTTGCTGTACTGCTCGAGGGCGAAGCGGTGGTGGTTATTATGACCTAGATCGACCTTTTGCAGCGGCATTCCCCGCGCTTCCGAGTCTTCGTGCAAGGCACCGAGAGCGACGACTGCATGACACACTGCAGTCTCCGCTTGGCACATCTGGAGGACCAGTCGCTGCCAAAGCTCCGAGTCGTAAAAGCCCACCATTCTAGGTACCGTGTGGGTTTGGAAGTATGTAAAGCACCGACGCTCGTCAGTACTCATCCCGGGGAGATTGACCCGAAGCTGGAACTCCGGGGAGTTGCGCAGGCGCCCGACTCTAGGGAGTCGAGTGAAGTCGTATCCATCGCAGGTCCTTCCGGTGGAGGTACAGTTCTTGCACGATCCTGGACTCTCGTCACATTTGATCCGCCTCGTCCGGCAGGTTCGACATCCCGTGCGGGATCTCGGAGAATATAACCTTTGTCTCTTGACTTCCATTCTAGACGGTCACTAATGCGCACCTGCAGCAACAAGGATTCAAACCCTGAGCTAGTGATGAGTCAGATTATGCCAGCTCACTAGTTAAGTGACTAGGTAGTTAGCTGCCTGGCTTAGTAATGGGATGGTGAAGCTTTGTTGGTTGATAGATGGCCACTAACTAGTGAGGTGATGCCGGCTGCAAGTAGCGCCGTTTTGGGGGGACAGAGCGTTGCCTTTCATAGTGTATCTTGTCTTGATAAGGATGATTTAATCTATGCGCGAAGTATGCCTTTCGCTGCAATGCTCTAGCGATGGATACCAGGATGTAGTTGTCAAATGAGAACGACTGGGGAAAGGAAAAGGTGAAATTGATGTTGTGTCACCAGATTTCCCGCTGCCATCCCACCGTTGCACCAAGTGATTCCTTTTCACGGCCTCGATTCCCATTGATGACCATGATTTCACTGACCATTTTCGGCTTTCCCATTTGGTCAGTGGGAGATGTCCCACAAGTGTCTAGTATTGCCAGCAATGCGGCCATGCTAGAGTCTTATACATCTAGCCTTTCAAGACCATGATGAGGCCTCCTAGAGCTCGGTGCTCTTAGTATTATATACTGCACAGTCTACTGTGTATGACCAAATGGCTAATTTCAAGGATCTTACCATGTCTGTGACTCATCCTTTTGACGACAATGGATCTGGGACTGTTCATGTTCACAATGCAGATGAGCTGCGTCTGGCGCAGATGGGTAAGACTCATAATCAGGATGCTTCAACGCTTACCCATATACGAGCGTTAAATGACGGTTCAATAGGCCACAAGCAAGAGTTGAAACGTCACTTTTCAGTATGGGGTTTGATCGGCATGGCTGCAAATTGCACTGTCTCCTGGACTGGTGAGTTGCGTACCGCTACAGCCTTCCAGCCCCTCATATGCTTCCTACAGCAGCCTAACAAAATCCCTAACAGGACTCGGTCTCGGTCTGATCACTTCCATCAGCGCTGGCGGACCCGGTGCCCGTACGAATCTCCCCAAATACCCGTGATACTATACCAATACCATGAGATTGACAATTTCAGTCATCTACGGCTTTATCCTTGTTTTCGTACTGCAATGCTTCTTAGGGACATCTCTCGCGGAACTCGTCTCTGCATACCCCGTTGAGGGTGGAATGTATCACTGGTCTGCAGTCATTGCTCCAAAACGCTACAGTGCTTCGTTGAGCTTTGCGACTGGCTGGAGCGCGGTGTTTGGCTGTATAAACCCAGGCAGCATTATCCTATTTTCTACAAGCTGACCGCTCTAGGGATATTCACGACCGCATCCACGAACCTCATTTTTGCACAGAGCTTTATGGCCCTAGTTGCCCTATACACGAACTTTGTGGTGCAGCCCTGGATGACCTTTGTCGCATACCAAGGATTCAACATTATATCCAGCGGAATCGTCATGTTTGGCAACAAGTGGATGCCCACAATCAATAAGTTCTCAAGTCAATACAGAGAGCCCCTGAGATACTCGAACTTTTACTAACCACAATAAGTGAAAAGTGTTCTATGTCCAATTCGCCTGGTTCTCTATCCTGGTCACTGTCACAGCGACTGCCCCAAAGCATAACGACGCTAATTTCGTGTTTCAAACCTGGATTAATGAGACTGGCTGGAAGAATAATATCATCTGCTTCATCACAGGCCTCGTCAACCCATTGTACTCTCTAGGTGGCTTGGATGGGATCACCGTATGCATCCCCAGCCCTTATGTACGATGCTATCAACTCATACAAGTCCACAGCACATCACCGAGGAAATGCCAGACGTAAGTACTACCCAGTAAAAGCCAAAACAGCTAACTCAGATATGCAACCAGCCAGGACGAAACGCCCCTTTAGCCCTTGGTATGCCCACCTATTCCATCCACTCGGAAACTACTATACCAACATCCACCTCACCTTAGCTTGCACCCTTGCTATTGCCTTCGTCACCGGACTCTCCTTCCTTCTCAGCCTCATGTTCTCCGTCCAAGACTACTCAAGCCTCGCCAACTCTCCAACTGGTCTGCCCATCGCAGAGCTTTTCCGCCAGGTAACCCAAAGCCGCGGCGGCGCTTTTGGTCTCGTATTCCTTCTCTGCGTTGCAGTAGGGCCATCCCTGCTAGGCTCACAGCTGAGTATTACTTCATCGTATCCTCAAAGCCCAACGACAAATCGCTTCCATATTGACGACGGTCCATCTAACAGGCACCGGACGAATGCTCTGGGCCTTTGCCAGAGACGACGGACTCCCTTTCTCCAAATTGTATGCCACCACACAATTTACATTACCCTATCTACATCCAGTCTACTAACTACATCGAGCTGCTCGAAAGTCAACAATCGCTTTGGAGTCCCCATCAACGCCCAACTTTGTATAGGCATCATTATCGCCCTCCTAGGCTGCATCTATCTTGGATCCAGCACTGCATTTAACTCGATGATGAGTTCTGCAGTGTATGCACCTATCAGCCCCCCTGAACAACACTATCCGTTTCCTAACCATAGTCTTCCAAGGCAGAACAATCAACAACATCGCCTTCCTCATCCCAATCCTCACGAACGTCCTGCTCCGTCGGAAAACCATGCACCGGGGTCCCTTTTCATTGGGATTTGTGACGGGAATGACGGTCAACATCGTCACCGTTTGGTGGTTGATGTTCGCGATTGTGTTTTTCTCGTTTCCGTATGCTATGCCTGTTACCAGTGAGTTATTTTTATATACTACTTGTGTCTATATTGATGTCTATATCTATGTTTATGCATATGTGTAATGGATGAGGTGGGGTATTAGGTGGGGACATCAAAGTTTAAGTTGACTGATGATGACCTAGCTTCAAACATGAATTACACATGTGTTTGTGTAGGTGGGTTCTTGCTCCTGGAGCTCATCTGGTGGATTGTGGCGGGGAAGACGTATTCAAGGCGGATGCAGAATGCAAGGGAGGAAAATGCCTCGCAGGCAGTAGTGGTTGATGATGTTGTAGGAAAGAGCTAAATTTGGATGTTGGATTGATTGTTTTGAGTTGATGGTATCAATGCGTTGAATTATGGATATATATAGCAAGGCTATGATATCCAGATTCCTATACTGCATCAGGCAGAAGCTCCCGTGCATGCATACATAACCTTTATGCTAAATTAAGTATACGGCGCATGGTGAAGTTGCGCCATGAGAGAAATCACATGCATTGCATGTCTGTAATGAGGTGGCTAACGCGTTAATGAGATTGGTTCTCAGTACCGCCAGAAGGCAACCTGTCTATATCAGATATACTGGGGGAGGAGTATTTGTGTTCCATATTTGTGCCCGAGGGACATGATGCGTCGAGATTAAAATTAGTAGTTCCTGGGCCCCGCGGAGCTTCGGGGCCAATAATTCAGTGGTGGGTATAGGAAGGGGTCTCAGCTGTAAGCGAAGAAGTATTATGCCATCCCCCACATGGTGTATAATTAGCGCAATGAGGTAGCCAAAGAGCTGTACTAGCCGCGCGATATTATGTCTAGTCATTCTTGACCTTACATATATAGGGAATTATTGTCCCTGCTGCTTCGGTCACTCCAATGCAATAATCTGAGGCAGGCGTAACATCGTCGACTCCGTTATTAAAGTATGTGCAGCTATATATCGATTTCAGTAATGTGCTCAGTTAGCACAATCTTCCGAACAAAAAGTCCTTGACGATTGGTGAGCTGGAAAACTCAGGGTTCAAGAGGACACAGCTGTACCGATAAACGTTAGCAGCCGAGGCGCATCTGAATCACAATAATGCTGGGGCTGCTTACTTCAAGAAATATTCCAAGCCGACCCGGCGGGATTCGAGGAAAGACGGGCGAAATTTGACTGTAGACTATCCGTCAGTCGCATTCATGTCTTGCGCGGGCTATCTCAGACATACAAATGACGCTCTTGGGAGGAAGGGGAGGGAGGGCATTCTTCGCATGTGGAAAGGACGCGACTAATCGTTGTCGCAAGTCATCGAACTCGGAATATCTGAGGGGGGGATGTTAGAAAAGGCTAACCATCAAGAGAGTCTTCAAAGCATACCTTAAGCGAACAGTGATAGGACCGCCCTAGAACTCATTAGCACCTGGAGCTACTGGCAACAAACGATAAACGGCCACAAGGAGACGGCGAGGGAGCATTACGAGAGGATATTGACGTACATCAAGCGTTTGAATTCTGCAATTCCACACCACATAGGATCCTATACCCGTCTTCCCTCGTACGACGACATGGTCATCGACAGCAACGCTTTTTGCCCACAGGCCACGACTGGTCTCACAGTCTGGATCCTCCGTATGATCCTCAAGGGTTATTCCCGGAGACTGGTCGATAGAGATGTGTGAAGCTCTGGATGCATTGCGGTGGTGACTCCAGTATGGGGGGACTATGCCGGAGACCGGACGATCTTTATTCGAGAGGTCTTCTGCCCGGGGAAGAACTGGACCATTGCTGACAGCTACCCCATTGGAGAGCGATGCCGCTATAGTAGCATTGCTAATGGTGTCAGATGGAGGAGTCGAGGGCTGGGAAGGTGAAGATGGGCGTGGTTGCTGCCGAGGCACCGAGCCAGTGTTCTCATTCGCTGGCTCCATCCATCTAGATATTCAATGAACGGAAGAATGCGAGCCTGGCTGTCACTAATAATAGTTAGGGAACAGAATGCAACCCTAAAGGGGGAACACCAGTGGCGGGGGATGGTCGGATGTAAGGTCACTAACGGGAATTACTAGCGAGGCTTCTGGTACAGCAGGGGGTCTGTGTACTGCGTTCCAAAGCCACAGGGTGTCAGCCCCGATTTAGACCACGTACAGCGCGGTATTCGGAAGTTTGAGGAGCGGAGACCCGAAAAGGAGGGGAAGGGGGTTCTTGATAAGATAGAATGTCTCAGAGGGGGAGGGATTCGCGAGTCGCGACACCAGTGGACGTCAGGCAGGCGCGGATGCTGATGATTGCCAAAGACCGTCGTTCCGAAAGGGACCAGCAGCGATCACGGGATCACAGCGACGCCTTTCCAGAAAGAGCAAGTCATGTGCGGCTTATCGCCCGCAGTGGCATCTTATCAGCCGGTTGGCCGTTGGGAATGGAGTACTCCATACCTACTAGCAGTGAATATAGACCCCACGAGGTAGACTTTGGAGAGTAGAGACTAGTAGAAAGATACGGCTGGTTCTGACTGGATCCCTTCATTCTTGGTAGATAGCACCAAAATTGAGTCCGAAACCGAAGGAGGTCGCTTCCTTTGTGCAGTGCAAGAAACTCCGGCCGGATTACCTAGTGACTGCTAGCTCATGGCTGGGTGGACCATTCCGGGACCAGTTCCGGACCGGGCTAGACTGCTAGTGGCCAGGGTCCGCGCTAGAAAAAGCCAAGAGTGGCCTTGCCCAATCAAGGTGACCAACATTGGGGGGATCCCCCAGTCGGGGTCCTTCAACTGAGACATGCGGGTGTCCCCCAGCCAGCCGACTCGTTGATGATTTGATCCTGTCCGCCGCCTGTCAGCCGTCTTGCTTTCCTCTGAGACATCCTCACACCATCATCAGACCTGGGTGGCCAGCTTTCCACTCTGGCACTCATGCACAAGTCAGGCGCACTGGCAAATTTTCCCGGTCGCCTTGCAGTCAGTCAATGGTTGAATCGCTGAATCGCTGAATCGCCAGTACTAAACATAGCAGCAAACACGGAGGAGAGGGGTAGGTATGTTACCTGGCAAACTAGGGTGATGTCGCAACTCACCCGAGAAGGGTCCAGAGAGGGAGGAAACTTGATCCTATCTACTCCGTACTCCGTACTATCTATCTATCTCCTTCCAGGCTTCCACACTCCACAGTGCCGTGCCGAGCTGGGTGGGTGGATTTACAATCGGCTAGTAGCACCGGATCGACCGGTCTCCCTTCCGGCCTCTCTTCATCCCTCTTGGCTTGGCCTGGTCGGTTTTGGATAGTATCTTTCCACCCAAAACCTCCCTCGGTGGGTAATAATCATACGGTCAACCAGACCTGGAGTCTCAAACTTTCTTAGCATGCCTCCACTCTCCAGCCATGACAAGATGGAGCCTAGCTGCTCCCTTGGGTCTTTCATCACTCGGCCTGGCCCTCCTGATGGCTGAATCCAGCACAAGCCGTCTGGAGCTTAGGAACTGATAGCGCCGCCACCTCACGCTCGTCTCGCGTAACGGACAAGTGTAGTACGGTGTGCGTGAATACATATACCGGCCATTGAGCGCCAGTCTTTCACTATTTATTGCTCATCCTCTTGGCTTCCTTTCCCATCTTTTGGCTTCTCTTCCTGGACCCCCGCAAGCTCTCCCGACTTCCTCTTTGAGGCCCTTCCGCTTGATATCAGCAGAGACCCGTTCCCTTAATATTGGCCGACGACCTGTCCAAAACTTTACTCCTCTTCTAGCTTCTCAGCTTAAACACGTACGTGCAAGTCTGGCATATCTCCATGCCTCTTCTCCATTAGTCCCAGAGATCAGCACTAACGGTTTGCATCAACACAGTCCCAAAACCCTTCATCTATCTCTTGACTTCATCGTTATACCCACCGCTTTTACGCCACTCGACATGGTTCTACTGCGTTCCCTGCTTGCCCTCGCTGCCGTGGCCGGCCTTGCCCACAGCCAAACCAATTCCACACTTGACCCAAACAGTGTTCCGATCCAGACCAGAGGTATGGCTCCGCTCTGGAGGGTAAAAGGGTATCCAGATCCCATCTGACTGTGAAACAATAGATCAATGGTGTGAATCTCAGACTTCTTCCTGTCCCCTACTCTGTCTTCAATTGCCAAACACGACGGGCTCGCCCACAGCAAACACCTGCAACCCTGTAAGTGCAGATGATCAACCTATGTCACTTATTTCAACTTGACTAATGCATTGAGTGTTGTATACAGAAAACCCTTATCTACGACTGTACTTGCAGCAATGGCCTGAGCCCCAACGCCTCTCAGTACTCTCAGACGATTCCATACTTCATCTGCACCGAAGAGAATAATCAATGTGTCAACAAGTGCGATGGAAACTCGACATGCCAGTCCGATTGCCGCACTGAGCATCCCTGTGGTGCCCAAAATCCAAAGCGCGTCAATATAACCACTACCGCAGGGGCAACTACTACTAGTGCCTCAGCCACAACCTCCGTGCCCCGGTTCACTGGAGTCCCGGGCGAGGGGATAGCGGCTAGACCTTCAACTGATCTTGGTCAGGTATACGGCCTGGTTGTAGTTGTGGGTGTTTTCCTTGCCGGATTCACGACTCTCATCTGAGACGAGGATGCAAGGCACTATGAGTTTAATGTCATCTCTACCATGATCAAGGCTGAAACGTTCGTCACGGGGACATGTCACCTTCATGTAATAATTGGTTCACCTCGCACTTTTCTTTCGTTTGACTTTTGCAGTATATTTCTATGTGCGCTCAAAATTAATGATGAAGCGTGTTGTGTCTACCCTTACAATCTGTCACTGCTTTCTAATGAGATACTATAAGAGCATTTACCGTTCAGGTTCCCCAGGTTTAGTGAAGCCTGCTGCCTATAAAGGCAATCATAAAATCAGTGTCTAGAGCAGAATGTCCGCTCCAAAGCTGGGGTCGATTCACATGTTGTGAGATGAACCGCTGCAACACTTCTTGATGGCTAACACGATTTAACTTTAGACGGCTTTGCTGCTTTTGCGACAATGAACCCGCAGTATGAAGTCAATCTGAGCCCAGGTTGAATGATTAGTTGTTTCTTGCTGGAGAAATAGCAACAGAGCTGACCCCCCCTCTATAGTATATTCCCCAAGAGAGAGCTACTTCGCTTTACTTGTATTATCTTCGAATCGAACATTCATCTCAGTGACCCAACCTGTGGATGTGGATGGAGCTGTGGGAACATCCTTGTTTACTCTTACTATTTCTGGGTCATTTGCATATCGGTAAAAAAGCCTTGAGGGGCTGACTGCCACTATCGCGGACAGTAATTGTAGTATAGATCCTCTGCAAATCCAGCAAGGACCTTCAAGACTGCTTCTTTCCTGTCCTGCAATCAAACTTTGGTTTTCCGATTCCCGGACTGAAGAGACGGCGTGCCTACCATTTCTGTCTACAACATTCGCTCCTGTCTTATCAGCTTAGCTTTCATTCTTCTCTACCTTTGCCGTCTTTTATCAAGCATAACCTTAATTCCATCTCTCATCCAGTCCCAACTTCAGTTTTCTCGGCTCAGTCTTCACATCTCGTTCTAGACTTTCATAGCTCGTGCTCTACAGGACTGGTGTCTGATACGACGATGCCTACTGATCGAGTGAGAGGAACTCCCAACCTTGGTCTCCAAGCGATGGAGTAGAAGTGACTTCAGGCTGACCGAGATTCTTAGAGCAACCGTTACTGCCACTTCTGCTCGCGCACCGGACACACGGACAGTCAATGCTTTTATATGACCTTGTGTCATGGGCTTTATGAACTGGTACGTTAAGCAGGCCAGGAATAGATCAGCCACCAATATTCGTACAGGCTCTCATGGTGTCCCATCGACCTGGTGGAAGATTGAGGTTCAATGAAACCCAAACGGCAATTCAACGTCTGGTATCCCGGCGCCAGAGAAATCAGCGGCGGAGAATGAGGAGAAATGAGCGTGAGAGAGCGCAAGTCAACCGTCCTGTAAGCATCCTCTCCGGCTAATATTAACAGCATAGCACCCGGCTAATTATTTGTTAATAGACGGGCCGTCGACCTCAGCTTGGACCTCAAATTCGCGTAGGTCGCCGACATCAGTCCCGTCGCCCATATCAGTCCAGTCGCCTACATCAGGCCCGTCGTGGTGTTCAGGTTAGGAACGCAGTAAGTACCTACTGTCAGCTTGAAAACGGCTAGCAATAGAATACTGCTAAGATTATCTGATTCAGGGTGGCTATCGTCCTGTTCGTACCGTTATACTACCAAACAGGTAAGGTTTGAAACTTTTTTCTGGGGTATTGCAGCTGATGGTGGACAGGCCTGCACCCAGTACCAACGGCCAGCCCAATCCAGGCACAGCAGTGTGAGTATATCGGAAAGCTGTACTTGAACCTACATTGACGAGGTTGAGTCAGGCCATCTTCTACTGGGAATAATCAGGCTACTCCGCCAACGCAGCAGCTTCTCTCAACGCAAAACCAAGAAGGCCCACGCAGTCCTCACCACGGCAGCGTGTCATCTACTACAATAGGACCAGTGTATGTTCCCCTCTCCGGACCTATGCTGCGATTTTGCTTCTGACATATCAGTGACACCGATATCTCAATGACACTGGAGTAAGTCCACATTATCTTCTAGGTTTCGATACTCAGAGTAACAAGCATTCAGTGAGCCAGAGCGTCCTGATGACCAAAGGGATGCCAGGTAAGGTCTAGACGATGGCTGGCAAGGATTGTATATTGACACTCAATTGATGCAGTGGACTAAGTAATCCGGATGACGATCTTCTCACCTTTGACCCACTCGATACGGCTGAAGACGAAGCCAGGGCCAGGGCCGTACGTGGAAACTCCGTGGAAGTTGTCGAGAGATACTGCGGCGAAATCTTCACGATGATATGAATCGGCCTGTGTTAGACCGCCAGTACACAAGATGGAGGAGTCTACGACTATGCCAATAGTATGAGCTCATTGATTACCTAGTTTCCATGCCTCTCTTGAACGCGTCTTTTTGGCGGGGAGCGCCGGTTTGATTAGAGCAATTGACCATGGGCGATGGCTGGATAGGGAATTTTTTCGAGCATGTTATAACCAAGCAAGTGGCCTGGAGCAGTCTGTGAGATTTGGTATAGGTTATTCAGGCACATCGGAATGATAATGATATCCTTGTCTTACGTGGTATGGTATGTAGAAGTGCGGTAGTGGTAGCCTAAGGCCGAGAATCTGAGACATGATGTGAGCTTGAGCGGTGACTGAGGCGGTGGGTGGCGGTGGATACCCCCAGGCAGCGACGCCGATAGATCGGGCCAAATGATGCTGCCGTCGGTGACCGTTGCGATATCATCTCACCCGCACATCCCACCTGGCCCGCCTCCACGTCGCTGTCTCGATCCGCGTCTTCTTTCGGTGCTTTGGTGCAGCTGGTCTTGTTTTATTGCCCGTCCCGCACTTGCTCGAAGCTCTTCTCGACATCCAGTGACTTTGATGCCAGCTCGTTTTCCACTAGCCTATTGCTGTCACCATACTATCTATTGGCCTGGGGGCCCTTGTGAAGGCTCGACCACACTTCCAAAGCCTACATCTTAAGCAGATATCCCGTGCTGGCTTTGCGACCGGCGGTATTGGCCATTTTACATAGTCTCACGTGCCGGCAGTGCAAGATTGCATACCCTGACAGCCAACAACATGGATTACATGGCACCGGATGCTTTCGATGGGGTTCCTTCAGCTCAGAGTGCAGGGTCAGTGACGGGACCGGGGAATGCAGATCTGGACAACATCAGTGTGAACATGGCAGGACCGATCATTAAAGTCGATGGTATTTTGGCTCTTCCGAATCGAATGAGAAATGGCGAAGAATGACTGACCCCGTGGAAGATCCACCCAAGTTCGAACTCGAGTCCTACATTGCAAATTATACTGGTGTGTGAAATCCCTGAGACCTGGTCCTTTCTGGCGCGACTAACAAGCTCATCATTTTAAGGCCGGACCAGATTCAATCGATTGCTTCTAATAGGCACATGCTCAACTTATCTCTCTGTTGAGGCACTCAAGGCTGCGGTTGCAGAAGCCAAGGGCGGCAGGGATGTCCCTAGATACGAACGTGCAGTCCGAGCTCTTGCCGACGCTGCACCCAATGACCCCGAGGCTACTCTGGACACGAATTGGGTGGATCGTATGAATAAGTCTGTCAAGGCGGAAACAGATCGGCTCGAGCATGAGCTCCGGGGCTATAAGAACAACCTGATCAAAGAGAGCATAAGAGTATGTTTGACTGCGCTTGGCGACACAACCCCCAATGTCTAACTGCTTGATAGATGGGCAATGAAGACCTCGGACAACATTACACCCAGATAGGCGACCTTGTCTCGGCGTCCAAAGCCTATTCTCGTATGCGAGATTATTGCACCACGCCGACTCACATTGCGTCGATGCTGTTCAAGATTGTCAATGTCGCAATTGAGCGTGGGGACTGGCTAAGTGTACAGTCGAACGTGCAACGATTGCGCAACCTCCAATCGAAGCAAGAGGACCAAGCCAAGAACCAACCTAAGATGTCCGCTGCCTTGGGTCTCTCACAGCTGCACTCCGGGTCGTATCTGGACGCGGCTAATAGCTTCTTGGCCACCGACCCAAGTCTGGGTGACTCCTACAACGAAGTACTCACCTCCAATGACGTCGCGGTATACGGTGGTCTCTGTGCCCTCGCATCGATGGACCGAAACGAGCTTCAACGTCGCGTTCTCGACAACAACTCGTTCCGCAACTTCCTTGAGCTCGAGCCGCATATCCGCCGGGCGATTTCATTCTTCTGCAATTCTAAATTCCGCCCCTGTCTCGAGATCCTGGAGGCCTACAACGCCGACTACCTTCTCGACATCCACCTGCAGCGTCACATCAAGACGTTATTCACTCGTATCCGCACCAAGTCCATCCAGCAGTACCTCATCCCCTTCAGCCGCGTGACGCTCGAATCCATGACCAAAATGTTCGCCCCTAAGGTTGTCGGCGGCCAGGCGGACCCCACCGACTCCAACTCGCCATTTGTGGAGGAACTCATCGGACTGATCCAAGACGGTACACTCGACGCGCGGATTGATCTGGAGAAGAAGGTCCTGGTCTCCAACCAGGTCAACCTACGGAACGAAGTCCAGCAATCCATCTTGGATAGCCTGGAGAACTACTCCCGTGAGGCACACCTACGCCTGCTGCGCACTAACATCATCCGCGCTGGACTGGAAGTACGAGCGGACGAGCGGAGACCGAAAGAGGACCGGAGCAAGGGGTCTGAAGGGTACGGGAACGTGTTTTCACGCGGCTCAGGGGTGATGTAATGCCAGTCAATGAGATGAGATACGACTAGAAGAATATCACTATGAATGGAATCCAAATCCTACCCAGTAGTCATCTACCGTACGGACAGTATACACCAACCGTCCCACATTACTATTATATCCCCTTCACTCCATGAACCCATGATTACACAAACATGCCCCCCTCGACACACATAACAAGATACAGACGGAGTAAAGACCCCGCTTCTATGATCCCTGAGATCTCTACCTCATTCATCCATCCACCCACAGACCAATTCTATAAGATAGCCTTCCCACACCACTACACCAAACTCTACGACTTGAGATCCCTCCTAGCAGAATAACCTCGCTAGTAGCATACCCATTACCCACCCATGGGTAAAGTATTACCCGGGATCCATCGTTCCTTCTTTCAACTAATAGGGAGAAGAATTTTAGCTTGCTTAGGAAAGAGGGGTTATTGGAGGTTAAAAGAAACGGGCATGATGCGTATGGTATGCATGTATCGGCTTTTCACTTTGTTTGTCTGTTTGGATTTTGTTGGGGTAAATTGCACTGTGCTACTCTGGGAGAGGGGGTAGGGTACCGGTTGGATGGAGAGGCAGTGAGAAGACGTTGAGGTAAGCACTAATTGATGAATAATCTGATACTAATTATAGGTGACTGTTAGTTACATTCTTGAGTTGAGTCATCATGAAGGATAGATTCATATTCATGTCTTGATTAAATCATAATATACACATTCAGTGGATATATAAAGAAAGAAAGAAAAAATTGGGATATATCTGTTCATAATCATAGACTACAGTTCGCTTGAAGGAGTTTATCGAATCCCTTTCCTGCGAGTGTATGCTTTTGGGTGGTGTACTGTATCTACTTTGACAGTATCTCTCCTCTCTGGTATACTGTTCGTCTTCGGTTCATAGCGTATATCTCCACTATGGAGGGCTTAAGCCATGGCCAAAGCGATCATCATGGCAGCACCACCGGCAACCAGCTGCGAAGCGCCAGTAGCAAAGGCCATGGCACCGCTGTCGCTGGTGCTGGCGCTAGCGCTAGCGCTGGAGCTGGAGCTGCCGGAAGCAGACTGGGTAGAAGAGGACGACTTGCCCGTGGCAGAGGCAGTAGATCCAGAGGCGGTGCCTGTAGCAGAGGCAGAAGAGCCGGTGCCCGAGACGGTAGCAGTGACGGTGATGGGGACTTTCGGGATCTCGGTGCTGGAGGCGCCGTTATCGGAGGAGACCTGACCATCCATGCTGACGGTGAGTGCGCAGGACAGCCAGGTGGTTCCGGAGTAGGTGCAGGCGGCGTATTCGGCCCTGGGGTTGGATAAGTGGGTTAATTAGCTGATTGGCTGGGCAGGCTGAGAGGAGAGACTTACAGATCAGTGCCGGAATAGGTGTAGGACCAGGTGCTGCTGCCGGCAACGACGGTGCGGCCTTCAGCGGGGATGTCGCAGTCGTCATCGTCATCGTCATCAGAGGAGGAGGCGGTGGTCGCGCGCTTGGCGACGGCCGCGCTGGTGGTCGCGGCGCTGGCGCTGGTGATGGGGCCAGTGGACGAGGCCGTGGCAGGGCAGTTGATCACCAGGGTGGTGAGGGCGCCGCCGGTCTGGATAGGGTTAGATGGTTGATGAGGCAGGATAGGTTGGGAGGACGTACAGTTCCAATCAGCTTGGCGTCATAACCGTCGGCGGAGGAGGGCCAGAGCATGGAGACGACATCGTCAGCGACCACGGAGGAGGCGGTGGCCAGGAGGGCCAGAGAGGTGGCGAATTGAAGACGCATGGTGTGTGATTATGAGGAATTGGTTGGTTGGAGGAAGGGGAGTATATGGAGGTGTATAGGATGGATAGAAGAGGGAGATGGATGGAGGAGAGAAACGGGAGAAGGATAAGGGAAGAGAGAGTCTGGGGCCATCCAAGCTGGGCGAGAAGAGGTAAATAAAGGGCCGACAGAATGGGGTCCATGGTATTGGGGGCGAAAAGAATCGACATGACGCTGACGGGCGAATTCCGGCGAGGCTGAGAGCGAAGCCATCCAAACCAGCAAGGGTTCAGGGATGTACAATTGCCCGATTGGCAATGGTTTCCAGGACCCTCCCAGTCGAGTGGAGGATTGCTATTGTGCTAGCAATTAGTAGCATCTCGCTCAGCCCGGATGGTAGGCGAAGTAATGGGGACCACTGGGTCTGTCAGCGCTTACGGCGAAGGTTGGATGGGAGAGGCCGACTCACGCTGGAGCCGGGGAAATTATATTGTCCCACTCAAGATGATGATATACTTCCACCCGGCTGCTTCCATGCTTCTTTCCTCCCTCAATAATCATTCTCTCCTGCTCACTTTCCCACAATTGTGCAGCCCTGGACCTGAAACGGAGGCACGGCATGCCACTGGGGCCAGACGTGGGGGCCGGAAGAGGTTGGAATTCTCTCGCTCGGCGGTGATGGCCGTGGTCGGATTCAGGTACCCCAGCCTTGCTGCGGCTTATTCCCACGCTAAGCATTCAAGCTAACAAATTAATCCCTGTCTAGAGGACAAAGAATCACAAAGAAAAGCAGCTCTGCCTCAAAAATCCAAACAACCCCCCTCCCCCAACAAAAAGAGAAAAACTCTTTCGACGCTACGCACCGTACCCAGCTGGTGCAGCGGGCCTTGAGTGCCCAATGAACCCACTGACCAGCCCTGCCAGTAGCAATGCCCCGTTGAAGCCGGCCATGATGTAGAACGGCGCTCCCGACGACAGCACATCAAACAAGAGTCCTCCCAGTTTGGTTAGAATCAGAATCCCCGCTCCACCGTACAAGGAATACACTCCAGCAATCGATCCCTTCAGATGCGCGAGATGCCGCCCTTTCCGGCCCATACGATGGGCCATCAAAGGCCGATCCTCGTCCTCCTCTGCGGCGGTGACAGGACAGTCTTCTTCCTCATCCTCACTGGGATCACTCTGCTCACTCCAGAATTGATCTTCCATGCTACTGGCGTCGCTCATGCTGAGAATGCCGCTGCTCAGCACGGACAAACTGCAGACAATCGCTCCGATCTGGCTGACCCCGACCAGGCCCATCACTACGAATACGCCGGGACTGCCGTGGTCGCCATTGAATTCGGGGCTGGGCAACAGTGCAAACGTGGTGTAGCCCACGAGGCCGACAAGGCATGCTGCCAGCAGCGGCACGTGACGGCGTCGCGATCGATCGGACAGGTAACCGAAGGCTGGCGCCGCGATCAACGCGACTAGTTGCGAGACCCCGGTCAGGATCGAAGCGAGCACGTAGGCCCTGTGGCATGACTTCTTTATGTCGCCAGCGCTGGCAGCCTCTCCGTCTTGGCTCCCGCACAAGCCGGATTGGCGATAGTAGTGATTCACAGCGAGCGGTATGAACAGCGAGATCCCCACGGACGATGCGCGTGCCACAAAGCCTCCAAGATAGCCAAGAAAAATGTCCGAATTTTGAAACCCCAAGGCGAACGCCGTGCCCAGCTGTTCGAGATAGGGCAATTGGAATTTGTGAGCATACGGGCATGAATCGCCGCCATCAGGCGCCCCGCGTCGGCGGGCGGACCACAGCGAACTCCAGGACTTGCCCTCTTCGCCGGGGAGATTTCTCAGACCAAAGAAACAAACAGCACTGATGACCAGAGACACAGCCGCGACGAGGTAGTAACTCCGTTGGATAGCTTCGGCGGGAGAAAGACCCCATTGCTGGAATCGAGCTGGAAGGGGCAGGAAGACGACAAGGGAAACAAGGGCACCACAGCCCGCACACATGCCTACAAACCCTGCCAATCTGGAGGATGAAGCGGTATTCTTCTGGGATTCCGATGCGGGCTTATGCTGTGCTGAGTGAGATCCAGCTACGGCTGGAAGAACCGCCGTGACCATGGTCGATACCGCCGCGCCCCCGAGACTGAACAACAGCCTTCCCAGCAGGAGCTGAGGGTAGACATTTTTGGCCTGGACGAAGAGGATCAGGGCAAGCGCAACGATAGCATAGCCCGTAGTGCAGACCTATATAGCAGACACAATGCATGAGAAAGATAAGATTTCAATTGACCCGACTACCGGGTAGAGCTTACATGACGGACGCCTATGCGGTCCGACAGCACCCCCCACAAGGGGCAAGCGATCAGGGCCAGCAGCTCGTCGGCAAAGCCCAGAGTGCCGACTGCGTCGCCTTCCCCATCACGGAGTCCAATTAATTCCGTGACGACAAAGGAGATGGACGAGTTGATGAAGACCAGGAATGCGATGGAGAATGGACACACGCCAAGCAAATAGGTCCATGTCTGCAAGCGGCTGGCTGTGAACAGAGTCCGTGGGGAAGCCATGACAACGGCTCAGCTCATTACTCCTGGAAACAATGCTGGGAATGATCGAGATTATGTCGAAGTGCTGGAATTGCTGGAGCTGCTTGCCCACTATTAAATATTAGTACGAAGTACGGTGTAGATGATGATGATGATGATGATGATGATGATGATGATGATGATGAGGAACCGATGACGGAGCGGATGCCACGCCGGATGCCGGCCAGCTGCCCGTCACCTGATCGGCGGGAGCTCGTGGGTGACACAGGTTCTTGCTTCTAGTATACTCCGTTCTCTCCGTTAAGCTTGGAACAACTTCACCATCCATGCAGGAGGGGACTCTTGCATCTTACCAGTCACTTTACAATCATTCGCTCTTTTTCCTCCCCACCGAATGTCAACAATCCTACGAGATCCGAGATCCTTGAAAATGGGGAAAAGCAGCTGCTGTCAGATGCCAAGGCGGTAACTCCAGGCTGGGTAACGAATACCGATACCAGGTACGGGCGATACCGAGTAGATTAGCTGGCCAGAACCTCCCCATCCATCCCCATCATTCCATCATCGTCTCTCTCGTCCACGCGATCGTCCCAACTCTTCCTTCTTTTTCTTCCTCCTACTCCCGGTGTCAATGTGTGCCTGAGAAGTTGCGGCCTCGTTGCTACGCCATCGTCCATGAAATCGGGCTTTGCGCCCACCCTTCTCATACCGTCGCCATGAGATTGGCCGTGTATGCTGGGGTATGTTGTTGCTCCCAGGCTGCTGCCTCGTCCCTCTAGGCTGACCACTCCGTCTGTCCATAGGCCTCGGCTGCCCTGGCCACTGGCGTTTTCTTGAAAGCGCTGCATCAGAGAGCAAACTTTTATGCGGCATGTGTATACCTCTCTCAGAGCAGTGCAAATCTCATGGTAGGGCTTCCCCGCCGCAGTTCCCAACTCCAACAAGCTCCCTTGGCGCACCAACGTTGGGGCTTCATATCCGTGACCAGGCTAACACTTTACGCGCAGATATTGATGAACATCAGTCTCCTGGCGGTTGGCTTTTTCCTCTTTTGGCTTCAACGTCTCCTCTACGGCCCCCTTCGACCCATCGAAACGGAACAGCTCTACGAGAAAGCATGGTTCGCCGTGACGGAAACATGTTTGGCAATGACGATCTTCCGAGGAGAGCTGGGCGGTTGGTTCCTGGTCATGTTCGTTTCCTTGCTGGTTGGAAAGGTTTGGGGTTGGATCGGCGAGGGCCGGGTGGAATTTCTTGAGCAGCAACCTCCGGCGAACCCGCGCCTGTTCCACATCCGACTGGCCGCTTCACTGCTCCTCTCGGTCCTGTTTAACTCGTTCATGTTGAGGTACTGCATCCGGACGGTTCTTGAACAGGCGCGGCCTGATATGATGGTCATGTTTGGCTTCGAATTTGCTGTCCTTACAATCCTCTCCAGCTCGACTGCGGCCCGATACACCATTTCCTTGGTCGAGATCTACATCACACACCGGCAATTGAAAGCCAAGATGGAGGAGCGTCGCCGGGAGATCAGGGCAGTTCGGGAGGAGTCATTGCGCCAGTACGCGGAGTCCGGAGTTAGGGACACCCCCAACCTGCCAGATGAGAACGATATCGACGAGATGGAATTGGATGTTCCTGGCTGGGAAGAAAAGGGCCGCTGGATCTTCTACCTTGACCTGCTTACTGACTTCCTCAAGCTTACCGTATACCTTACCTTCTTTGCTATTCTCTTCACGTTCTACGGCCTGCCGATTCACATCTTACGCGACGTCGTGGTCACCATTCGCTCTTTTGGACGACGCATCATGGACTTTGTACGTTACCGCAATGCAACCCGGGACATGAACGAACGCTATCCGGATGCAACTGCCGAAGAAGTTGCCAGGGAGGAGGTGTGTATCATTTGTCGGGAAGAAATGACACATTGGCACCAGCCGGCGGGTGCGCAGCGGAACCGGGTCTCTGATAGACTACGCCCGAAGAAACTTCCCTGCGGCCATATTCTGCATTTTGCTTGTCTTCGAAGCTGGCTCGAGAGACAGCAGAATTGCCCGACCTGTCGGCGGCCTGTTATTGCGCCACCTCGGGCCCGGGGGGCGGGTGACGGCGGTAATCAGGGACCAGGCAACGATGCTGGCGCACAAAACATGCCGGCTGGAAACCAAGCGTTTGGTAGGGAAGAGCAAGCGGACGGGCTACCCAGAGCTCGGGTTTACCAATTTGGGCCTTTTAGAATTGGGTTTGGGACGGGAAGAGGTGATCTTTTCCACAATCTCCAACAGCAAATCAACCAAGGCCATGCGCCCGTACCGCAGGCCAATAATGTCAATGCCCCAGAAGGGCGGCAGATCGGTATTGGCTTTAGGTTCGGACGGCCTCCCCAGGTGGCAGCGCCGCAAGCTGTACCCATGCCTACGTCGAATGTGGCGGATATACAAAGTCAGTTGCAGCACATGGAGCAACAAATCATACAGGAAATCGACAATCTGCGTGTCACTGCGGACCAGCTCCATATGGTCCGTCTGCTGCAGACGGAGCTTCAGCGACTTCGAACCCTGCAGGCCAATTCTCCCATTGCACACAGCACCTCGTTCCAAAGTTCCACCGCCGTCTCACCCCAAACTTCGTCCATTACTACGCGCCGTCAGTTCATTTCGGACCCTCGTGCACCCGCCATGGGCGCTGGGGACAGTCGACTGCCCGACGGGCTGAACCTTCCTGCTGGCTGGTCTCTCATCCCTCTTCACTCCCCCGAACAGGGCTCCAGCCAGCCGGCTGATCAACACCCCACCCCTACTGTTCCTGAAGCCGGCACCACCCCGATCTCCGATAACACCTTCACGCCGCCGGCCGCCCTACCAACCGCGACTGCAACGGCTGAAGGCCAAGAGCACGAGGGTGTGGCTGCGCCGGAGCCTTCTGCTTCTCGGGATTTGCCGAATTGGCAGCCGGGAGCAACGTCGACGGCGACCGGGTCGGGTATAGAATCACTGTCGCAACAGTGGACAGATCTGGCGCCTGATGCCCAGCTCGAAGGCGAGAGCAGTCTGGTCGAAGGAACTGACGGGACGGACCACGCTGAAGACTCGGACTCGGCGTCGAAGGGAAAGGCACGAGTCGCCACGGTGGAAGACGCCGTTGATGATGAGACATGATGGGTGCCCTTGGCCTTTCCCGACATTTCTTCTTTTCTGCCTTTATACCTGGTGTCTTTTTGGTTGATGTATAATCATCTCATTGGTGTTGCCCCCTCATATCGGGTAATGATTGTTTTATCGGCGTTCTTCAAGCGGCTCCCCCATCATACCCCGTTGCCTGTATGTTCGATCCATGGAAATGTGGCTCATGCAAGGTCATTCTCAGTTGAGATCACCCCGTCCCGGTCGGTGTCAGGGGCCGATGACCCTTACGTGTATGTACATAAGAAAAAAGACGATATCGCGGCTTACTTGGTTTAATTAAACCACTTCGGTTGCAATTGTAATAGTAAGAAACAAGAATAAGCACTGTGCAGCGATGGATCGGGTGCATCGGATCGTGGGAGGAGCCACCGGGCCAGGGGCAGTAGCTGGCCAGCTCCAATCAGGACGGGCCACCGAATGCCGGGACGAACTTCCAGTGGCGCCCGTGGGGATTCTGCGTGAATTCTCCGGCCACGCAAAGAAGGGTTCCAGCCAGGCCGGGGCCCTCCAGGGCTCCAGGGTGAGGGTGACTGGTTCCCCGGCTCCCAGACTTCTATCGAGTCCTCCTCACCTTCTACTATGGTAGGATTGATCGATCTTCACTCGAGGGCCAAGAATTTCACTCATTCGAGATCTACGGAGCCAGGGATCGTCGTCATCAGCGCTGACGCCAGCGTCGCCTCCGCCCGCGTCTCCCGCCCGCTTCCTGCGCCATCCTTTGCGTATGCCTCCCTCCGGCTGCCTTTTCAACCAATCCGTTTTTCCAATCCAATCCCGGTCGCATGAATTTGCCCTAGGAACGGTCCTCGTTCCCTCCTGCCCCTCTCTGTTTGGTTCGTGGAACCTTCGACCGGTTGTGGCCGCGCATCTTGCCGTTCTGTCCTTCAGATCGCGGGGATTTGACAACTGTTCCCGACTGTGACCTATTCCATGGCTTCTATTCTGTAGCGTTCGGACTCACGGTGGGTGACCTCTCTGCTTCCGTGCTGGATTCTACAGAGACAAATCCTGCAAGGCCAGGCTCTCGGTATTCCAGACAAGCTCATTGCCTGAGCTCCATTGCTGATCAAGCTCTTCACCCAATCGCAGTGCACCTATCTTTATTCCTCCCCCGATTGAGATCTCCAACCGTCTCCAATGATTTCCTCGCGCCGGGCCGTGCCCCTTTTTGGCTTTGCCTTTATACTTTGCATGCTTCTCGCTATCCGCAGCCTCTCCACGCAATGGGAGCAAGCGACGCAGGCCGTCGGGCTGGGTGAACTGGCTACGACCCCATCTCCGTCTCCGTCGACGCGCCTCAATGTTACCAGGGTCCAAGAGGAATCTGCCATTCGAACACCGTATGCGCCCAAGCCACAATACGTCCCTGGCATACCCAAACCCTCCGGGTCCGCATACACAAAAACGCTCGTGGTGCCGCAGGCCGATGGCGAGGACACTAGTTGGATAGAGTCCGAACTACCGGAGTGGGAGACAGCGATCTACGCCGTCAATGACCCATCGGCACCCTTGCATCCGCCGAAGAACAAGGGTCATGAGGTGATGGTCTACTTGAGCTACATCATTGAACATTACGACATACTCCCGGACATCATCGCCTTCATGCATTCGCATCAATTTGCTTGGCACAATGACGATCTCTTTGGCGGCGATGCCGCTGATCTCCTACGACGTCTGAACCCTGCATATGTGGTCCGGCAGGGGTACGTGAATCTGCGTTGTGCTTGGAGCCCCGGTTGCCCTGCCTGGTTGCACCCAGGCACGCTGGTGGAAGATCAGACCAAGCAAGAGGAGGTTATGCTGGCCCGAGCATGGGGAGAGATTTTCCCCGATGATCCGGTCCCTGAAGTTCTATCGCAACCCTGCTGCGCGCAGTTTGCCGTGTCGCGCGAGCGTATTCTGGCCATCCCGAGGGCCCGGTTCATCTACTTCCGCGACTGGATGCTCCGGACGGAGCTCAGTGACTACATCTCCGGTCGCATTTGGGAATACCTGTGGCAGGTGGTGTTCACGGGCGAGAGTGTCGTCTGCGTGAAGGAGCACATCTGTTACTGCGATGGGTACGGCATCTGCTTCGGCGGCGAAGACGAGTACGACGCTTTTCGGGGCCATAACAACCGAAAATCTGAGCTTGAGGAGCAATTCAAGGGGTGGAACACCCGGGCTGACATGATCGAGCTGACCCGAATGGGTGGGACACTGGGAGAGGAGAGTTATCTGGACTTCCCACAGCCAGGGGAGGACCTCTCGCTCGCAGACCAAATCGATCTGGAGGAGCTCCTAATCAATGAACTGGTGGCCAATGCCACAGAACGTGGCAAGGACCCCCAGGCACGGGCCCTCGACGTGGGAAGAGTGTGGAAGGAGGGTGATGGATTCTGAGGATATGATTGACACCTCCACTGAACGTGATCATGTTCGAAAATTCTAGCCAGTGCGGGCAGCCCTTACTGGACTACATGGCCTTGACATTCTTCTGTTCATTTTTCCTTTCTGGGGTTCAGGTGTTTTACTGTGATGCCTGATATAGATACGATTTCTTCTTATATGTTTGATATGATTGGCCAGCGATACTTGATGTGCCAACTTTGGGGTACTTCTGTTTCTTCCAAATATTGTGTTATTTATTGCAGCTAGGACAGTTTGGCAGGACCAAATTGATGAATAGTAAAAGCAAGCTTGATTGTGCCGTCAGCATAGCATAGTTGCTGCCGTGGTTGCCTCAGTTGCCGCCAGATCATGTGACCGGCTCCACCGTGGCTAAACTTCCCTGCAGAGTTTGCACTGTCTGTTCCTCCTTCAAACCAGCCAAACAGCGTCATCGCGGTCAACAAACTATCACTGCAATCACTTATCGCAGTTGCGCCTGAGTTTGAGATAATCGTTGGGGCTCCCAGCCTCCATTCACTGCACGCGCCTCAACGTGGGCAACTGTGCGTTTCTCCCTGCCTGGGAGTGTCAGGTGTCCTCCTGAGCTGTGCTGTTTTGCCGATCGTCAACAAGCACTCAACACCAAGCTATACGCGACATATGCTGCAAGTACTGCAAGTACTGCACAGCAGATACGAGCTTAAACCCCGTTGCTTCGCAATTCGCGTCGCTGTCTTCTGCGCTTCATAATTTACTTTGCAGTGCAGCGCGACAGTAGGACTAGTTAATCAAGCCTCCGGTCTATTCATCTTCGCAAAACCTTGCCGGACAGCACCTCAACCCGGTCACTTCTAGATCAACCATAATCTGTTCTTGACCTTTCACACGTTGCGGTGGCTGTGCATCCACACGCGGACGCGTCTTGACTCGAACCGCAATGACATCAACGTCTACCTCAAACCATCAACATCCCCCGTCGACCTCGGCAGCCGAATTCTCAACCAACCCGACCACTTCCGCCAATGTCGACCCGAGCGCACACCTTGCAACTAGCGGATATGCGCCCAGTGAGAACCAATTAGCCGGGCTGGTGGAGGCTGCTACGGCCGCTGCAGGACAGGAGGTCTCGGACTGGGCTGCCGCCGCCGCCGTCGCTGCTGCGGCCGGGGCCGCGGGTCTTCAGCATCACCTAGATGGGTACGGGCCGGATACTCATATGGAGGATGATAGCTTTGGGGACGCTGGATTCGGGGCCGGAATTGGTGGCGGGCGACAGTTGCGCGGGCCGAGTTCGATGAGTGAACATGGCCAGCCTTCTGGGGGTGGATTGACTCGGGTGCCAACCAAGAAACGCAAAAGGAACGAGGATGCGCTGGACCCGGCATTAACGGCAGGCGCTGCAGTCGGCCTCGCTGGTACGCATCATCCGCACCATCAGCAGCAGCAGCAGCATCACCAGCATCCACATCATTACGGCGGAGAGGGTCTGGATATTCGCGGTGCGCCATCACAGTCCCTCTCCGAAGCTCGCGCTGTGGGCCTTCATTCCGCCGCTGCCCTGTTCCGCCAACCGTCGAGTAACAAGAAGTATACCCGTCCACCAATGTCGAAACTATTTGCGTCGCTGGAGCTTTCACCGGAGAACTTTTTACATCTGCAGGCGGCGGCGAAAGGATACATGCTTCATGATGACCACCCGGAGCGGCGGGAATGTGTGGGTCAGCGTGGGAAGGGTGATACAGAGATGGTCAAGTTGCGCCTGTGGAACTGTGTGCGCCATTTCCTCGAAATCGAGGGAAATGGCGAGCGGTTCTTCGGGGAGAACGTGGTCAACGAGGGCATGGGCCCCAGGACATACATTTGGCCCCGGGATTCACAGAAAATCATCTCACTGGTAATTCCTTTGCTGCGACGGATGGTGACCAATGAGCGTCAGCGGCAATATGCGGTGGAAACCCGGAAGGGCGGCGGCACCGAAGAGCGCCGGAGACGAAAGACTGAGGATAGTTTGCAGAATCTCAACGCTGGCACTCCCACCGACGATCATCTTCAGATGCATCAACATCATACCCCAGACGAGTACATGTCACACCAGCCCACGTTGCCTACGGCGCAACCTCAGCTCGACTCCGCTCCGCCCACGGACCTGGGTCTGACGGATCTCTTGCTGGATGGGTACTCGACTGACTGGGACGCGTTTGCCAAGTCGTATGAACTGTACAATCAGAACTGTGAGCTCGACAGCCTGTGGTATATGTCAGGATTGCAACAGCCAGATTGGCGGGGATTGGTTGCTGCCATTGACAGCCACTATCAGGTCATCCACAGTGGTGGTTACGAGTGTCCGCTGCCGTGTGAGGATGCCAACGTGCTGCGCATACTGAATGCTGATGCCACGTCGGACCTACGTTGGCGCATTGGTGGGAATGTGAACCATCCTTCCCGGAACGAATTGTACGTCTACCTATCACTTCTTGTTGTATATCACTGACCGTCCCATAGTGCCAGCAGTATCGCCCGCGAGATCTCACGTGTTATCCGAGAGAGTCTGGCGACCCAGCAGGAGGTCCACCATTCCCCTCACGACCATGCTCCCGAGCCTCAGCTCCAACCATTTCCCCCGAATTTCCCGCCACTGCCCGGCACGATGAACACAAGCCCCGGCCCGGCTCCAGCTCCGACCAATGTCTCGCTTCGGGTCAATATTTTGCAAGATGGGAAGCGTATGCATCCGCGGTTCGATGTGGCCGCGAGCCAGTGTCCCGATCTGGAAACACTGAAGCAACTGATCTCGCGCAAGTTTGCAGGCCAGCTGCCGGGCGTGCCGTCCGATGCTAGCATTAACGGTACTGGTGGATGGGGCTCACCGACGCACTGGAAGTTCCAGGTGTGGCTCCCGGACGGACTGGCGCCGGTGCAGAATGACGGCGAGTGGGCGATGGCGCTGGTGTCGGCGAGCAATGTAGATTGGATGGATGGTGATCTGCGGGTCCTGGTTGAACTGGAGGGGGCATCATAGCCGGATGGCCTGCTTGTTTTTGCGATCTTCTGTGGCTTTTTGTACTGGCTGGCATGGAGTTCGGTGGTGGGATCTGTGTTGCTTGCCTCATACCCGGTGGATTGATGACATGATGAGATACGATGTGACTGTATTGAAATTTGCAATTGGGGAGTATGTCAATGTATAGATTAGGGTGAACTAGTAGTAATAATGTACAGCATACTACCCTGCTCGCAGTAATCAACAACTAGAATGTTTTCCCCCCGAACACTAGAGCCAATCCTTCATATATACTCTGAAAATCGCTGCTACAGAATGCAGTACTTAAGATAATTCTACCTCTTCCACACAGATTACATCAGGAAGGTCCCAAAACTACTACATATAATATAGTAACCATCGCGATGGAATACTAACATGCAGGCTTTTTGTTGAGTAGGGGAGTGAGTGAGGGTGTTGCGGTGGGGGTGGTTTGAGATTTAGGGGTTTGGGGGGTCAGGGTGTTGGTGGTGGTGGTGAAGTTAGGTTTGGGTTAGTCTAGAGGATGAGTTTGGTTCCTATCTACATATCTAGTACTAGTATTGTGTAGGTCCTAGGCTAGGAGGACAAGCATAAGCACTAACCGCGACTCGTATAACTTTCTGTTAGTATTTATTACTTAGCTACTATTTATCAATGGGTTAATTAATGACGAGGGTTGTGACTCATATTGTTACATTTTGGATGGAAATAAATATACATATAACCCTGTAAATATTCATACTACCAGACGTTCAAATTACAGTACTAAGTATCCCCATCTCCATCTAAATATTACTACTTAACCTCCACAACCACCACTACTCAACTAACTTTAGTATCAAACATGAAAATCCCAATCCCCTCCTCGAACAATCCGAATGCACTCACTACGCCCAACAAGCCCACGCCCTCACCACC